GACACAGATATGGAGGACGCTGACACAGAGGACCACCACAATGCTGACAAAGGACACTTACAGTTCTTCAAAGGAGGCCTATTCCCATGGTCAAAGTGCAAAGAAGCCTTTGAAACTGAGCTAGATTGAAATAATGAGTACTGGAGCTGCAGCAGTTTTGCGAGTGAAATCCAAAGAAAAGCAGCACAGCATAGTAGAATGTAGTACAGATTCTACTGAATGATGCATTTTAAAAGTGGTACTTTGGTACCATCTTGTACTAAGCCTACGTAAATCACGTAGCGATAMAGGTTTTTTGTTGTTCCCTGGTGGTACCATTTTGTACCAGGCCTACGTAAATCACGTAGGAATGCAGGTTTTTTTTGTCCCTCCGGAAAAGCAACAAAACAGCAACGCCGACCACTGGCAAGGGTCTCCTCCACTGCTCAACCTTGCAAGCATTGGAGTACACAACTAACACCCCTCTCCTCTTGTCCTCCTCCTCGGCAAGTGAGCTGCTCTAAAAATTCCTATAGAAGGCTCCTTTTCCTCGGCCACAAGGGCCTCGGAAAAGGAGCCTCCTATAGGAATTTTTAGAGCAGCCCACTTGCCTCGGAGTCGTAAGATTTTGGTGGCACGTGCTGTCCCTATCTAAAAGAAAATCCTCGGCGCATGCGCGCCTCGAATTTTCTTTTAGATAGGGACAGCACGTGCCACCAAAATCAGAGGACGAGGTGTTACTTTTAGTACTAGAATTCAGATGTACGGTAGCCACTCGGGATTTAGCCTCACAAGCCTAGCCTAGTGACTTTTCCTATTACAGTACGGGTACTTGGGTACTTACGGTACGATATTACGTTACGTTACCTTGAGTAACCGTAGCGTACAGTACCGTACTACCGCAGTAGGAGATGCCACCCTACTGTAGCGTATGTGGAAAGTGCGTTTCTAGTTTCGAATCATCGTAATAACTCAGCATTGCTCATTTCTCATGACTTATCATATTATTCAAGATACGTACTCAACATACATACGAAGAAGTCATTTTAGAGGGCAGAATAGAGAATGCCCTTTGTCATCCTCAAAAAATATTTTTCTATTTATTGGAAATTGGAATTTTTGATAGAGAATGCCTTCCGGTACGATCCTATGTACCTGTATGTCGCAATACTGATTGAGATCTCAAGGTATCCAACATTCTTTAAATTGCGAATGATTCCGCACTGCTATTCATAACGTTGATCACGTTAAGGTGAAGCACAAAGTAGAATCGAGAAATCTTCAATCACTTGCCAACTGACCTCCGTATTCCCGAGTCTAATCAGCCATATAATTACCACCACTTCTCAAGTGGCATACACACTACAAGGCTTGTAGTTCAGAACACAGAAAGCAATAACGGCAACGAGGATCAATTCAAACAAGGCAACAGCGACCAACATGACACTTCTTCACCATGGTATTGCAAACACTTTGCCCCGCCTCTCCACCAAATATGCCACTGCGATTCGTCGGCTCATTGCTTCGTCGTCTCGAGTTGCTGCCATAGGATCCGGTGAACACTTGTCCCCCGTTTGGGGCCACCTCACAACCATGCAACCAGTGAAAGGAGAAGGCATCTATCTATGGGAGGCAGACGGCACCAAACACACTGACTTTACGTCCGGTATCGGCGTGACAAACCTAGGCCACACGCACCCAAAGATCACCGAGGCCATCCGGGAGCAGGCCACCAAGTTGCACTTCGGTCAAATGAACGTGGTCATGCTGCCCCAGTTTGTCGAGTTGTCGGAAAAACTGGACGAAATCACCCCCGACGGAATCAACAATTTTTTCTTTGCCAATAGCGGTGCCGAGGCTACCGAGGCCGCAGTCAAGCTGGCAAGGCACGCATCGGGGAAGAAAAACATTGTGGTCTTCAAGGGGAGCTTTCACGGCCGGACGGCACAGTGCATGGCAATGACCACCTCCAAGTACATTTACCGCGAAAACTACGCGCCGCTTCCCGGGGGAATACACGTCACACCCTTTCCCTACTCATACTTTTATGGATGGGGGCAAGAAGCGACCGTTGATTTTTGCATGAAGGAACTCGACCGGGTGGTCATGGGTCAGACCTCTCCCGACGAAACGGCGGCTATATTTGTCGAGCCCGTGCTGGGAGAGGGCGGATACGTCCCCGCCCCAAACGCATTTATAGAGAGACTCCGCGAGTTTTGCGACCGCCACGACATCTTGATGGTCGCCGACGAGATTCAGTGCGGTTTTGGCCGCACCGGCAAGATGTTTGCCATAGAACACAGCGGCGTTCGGCCCGATATATTAATTATGGCAAAGGGACTGGGCAACGGAATGCCAATTTCGGCCGTGGGTGCCTCGCACGAACTGATGTCCAGGTGGAAGACGGGAACGCACGGAGGGACCTATGGAGGAGGGAACACCATAGTCGCCAGGGCGGCCCTAGCCACCATCAAAACCATGAGGGACGAGAAGATCCCGGAAAAGGCGGCTGCAATGGGCGAGTACCTCATGGACAAGCTTCGCGCCCTGAGGGATCGTATCCCCATAATTGGAGACGTTCGTGGGTTGGGTCTGATGGTCGGAACGGAATTCACCGATCCCTCCAGCGGGAAGCCGGCGGGGGATGTTGCCGGGGCGGTTCGGTCGGCCTGCATCGAGAAAAACCTGCTGCTCCTGAGCTGCGGTACCTACGACAACGTGATTCGATGGGTTCCACCACTGATCGTCACCGAGAATCAGATCGACGATGCCATGGATATCTTCGAGCAAGCCGTCATGAATGCTACCGGCGGTATGAGCAGCAAACAAAAAAATATTGCATAGTGCAACACAGTCTAGCGCAGCGTCACCACAGGTCCTTCGATTTTCGGATACGACACTATACACACACGACTACATATGTCCCCTACCACACAATGATCATTGATCAAGAAACATAGAATACACCAAACTAGCAGTATCCATTTTAGGATAGAAATACTTGATACATTTTGTTGAGAATAAATTATTTAATTTTGAAACACCCATTTCTATCACAGTAATGATGCGCTATCAGGACTAACCAAATACTTATACCTTTCCGATGAAAACTTCAAATGCACTTAAAAGAATCACTGTATAAATTGAGATACCGCAAAGAAAAGTCGACTGAGTTTGCAGCGAAAATTTCCGTGGGAGGAGTCATACTATCCTTGGATTAAAGTTTCCGCCATTTCATCTTGCTACTACGTGGTGAAATACCATGTCTTCTTTTTCTCAAGTCACATGGCGAGATGAACCAGGGTGACACTCCTCTTGCCATAAAAAGAAATATCACTTTTTATTGTCGTATTGGTTACATTGCCTACCCAAATCAACCATACTAGAAGTGACATGAAACTCAAATCAAAGAACGGTCAAATGGATTACTACATATTGATTCTTTCACAATTTGAAATGTTCAAGTAACGCAAGTATTTTGGTTTGCAAGTTCCTTTGACACAATGGGACCCCCTTGCTGCTTCTCGCCCTGAAAGGAGAACCGAAAAACTCCTCTCCCCTTCGTCAATGTCAGCAGTTTGTCCTGATACCAAACTATTTTGTTTCACTTTCTGTAATTGGGTTCTATTTTTAGGGAAGTTAGTTTCGGGTACGATCATTCATTAATCGGTCCTTTATTTCGCCATGGGATGGGATGAAATATATTCCACGGCATCGGCAACAGAAAGGATCTTATCGGCTTCAGCGTCGGGAATCTCGATCGCAAATTCGTCCTCGATGGCCATAACAACCTCTACGGCATCCAATGAGTCCAATCCAAGATCGTCGGTAAATTTAGAAGTATCGGTAACCTTGTTGGCATCAACTTTATCGAAATTCTTGATCACATCAGTTACTCGTCCGGAGACTTCGGCAGGATCCAAAAAGGTAGATGCGGCGAACGTTCGGACGGCTTGTGCTTGTCTGACGCCCGTAAAGAGGCTAGTGTTGACAGCACGAACGGCGACACGAGAAGCAAGGACACGACCGACGGAAAACATGCTGTAGTAGGTGAACGGTTGGATTGATTGGTAACGTATTGCGTTATGATGGTTTCACAACGAGACCCAAAAAAAAGATAACAAACATGAGTGTCAGCGAGACGGGAAAACGACGAGAACCGAAATAGAACCAAGTATTATTAGGGCGAGCATCGCGCGAACGGACAACAGACAGACATGAATGCTCCAAATCCAAAGCACACCGGTTGCGACTGCAGAAGCGCCAATATCAAACCAGCGTGTTTCTCCAACAATAACTATTGTCGCCGCTGCGATAAAAAAAGGATAAGGACCAGCGCTTTCGGACGTTGTGCGACTTACTTTTTGAAAGAATTGTCTGCTGTGAAAGGGTCAGCGGAATAGTTTTGCACAAGGTTGAAAAGACGCGTTGTTTTGCGAGCGGGCGTTTGAGATGATCTGTTTGTCTGTTGTTACGCATTTTCTCTTCTCTTCCTTTAAACTCGCTCTGATCTCTAACTTGGCACATTTCAGAATGGATTGTCAAAAGGGGGAGGATTATCTGATAACCCTAAACTCATTCTATCCGACCCGATCCCCGGAAAGGCTTGCTTGGTACTGTAATATGGTTTTTTGACGATCGTTACTAGAAGTATGAAGAGGAACGAAGAAATTCTCATTCTTTGGTTCTTCTCTGGAGATCCAAATGATACTAGTACGTACTTCGTACGGTACAGTAGCGTACTACTGTTAATATTAGTGTTTTTGGAGAGGCAACCGCGCTCAAGTGTCCTGAAGAATTGGTCCACAGTGGCCAATCATGCTCATCTAACAGCAATACGGGCCGAAAATAGCTCCAGCTAGGAGCCAACGGACTGTAGAAAATAAGCCAGAAAATATCAAAAAAACAAATCTAGACCACCGGACTATTCGTCAAATTCTGATTGATACAATTACTTAAACAAAAGAGTCATTGAAATTTATATACCTAGAACTAGCTCGCCCAAATAAAAGTGGCAGGTGGTGGCCAAATTTCAGAACAAGAAATGGGCCAAGACCAGAACCTACTGTGATCTCGTATTTTCTTATGTAGTCATAATGGATATTTTTGGCTACAAGGATCGTTCTGCCTTTCAAAAACCTTGATTATATGGACCGTACCCCTCCCTTTGTGTTCCTGCGATAGCTTGTAACAGTAGGGTAATAAAAGCTTTCGCCCCTAGAAGGTTCATATTTGATTCGGACTGCATCGGTCTCAAAAACTTCCAAATATTGCCAATTCGATAGAACACACTAAACCCTCTTCACGGTAAGCCTAGATGATCAATATTGTATGAATGCCGATGGCATTGATTCCCAAAAGGTTGTGCGATTCGAATGGCGATTATTTCTTCAGCTGTTGTCGCATGTTCATTCCGATCATCGGTCACTTTGCCTCCAGCTTATATACCGAGGTTGCCTAAGAGATCTGAAGTAGAATCCTGGACTGAAATGTTGAAGAGAGATCATCGAAGGAAACCGTCGAAGATGGCGATACCGTAAAGAGCAGAATGAGTAGAAAATTGTTTTTTCACGAAACGAAACTGATCCTAAGAATCGTTTCCACTTGACTTTTTTCCCGTCATCTCAAAGGTTTCCCGGACATGCGAGTCGTAGCATCTGTCGTTGGTCTCTTGGTAGCTACAGCGGGATTGCTCCCGTCAGTAGCCAATGGTCAAAACGAGGTGATATGTCTTGACGACAGGAAATTCCGCCTCAACGGCAATCCGAAGAAAAATTGTGATTGGATTGCGGAGCAGAAGCCCACAGTAAGGTATATATGTGACAGACGGGACCAAAGAACAGGGCTAAAGGTTTCAGAATATTGTCCTCTTACATGCTCCGGCGAGTGCGACGAGATACGTTCTAGCAGTCCGAGTGCTTCACCTACGCCCGCAGCTCAATTGTATTGCACTCACGATGACCCAGATTTCAAATACAAAGGCAATAGCTATAAAAATTGTGATTGGGCGAGGGAAAAGCTAAATATCAGATGCAATAGGAAGATTAAAGGAACCAAGAAGAGAATCAAAGATGCCTGTCCTTCTGCTTGCAACGTGAGATGTGCTTGCGTCAATTCAAACAAGTATAAGTACAATGGCAGATTCCAAAGCTGCAAATTTCTCGAAACTTCGGAATGCAATTTGAGGGCTGACAATGGAGATCCAATTTCCTACCATTGCCCCAGAAAATGCAATGCCTGCCTTTCATTTCCAATACCTTCACCACCTTCAACAGCTCCATCGGCTGCACCTTCGACGGCTCCAAGTCAATCAATGCATCCATCGCCTGCTCCTTCTTTACCGCCATTATTTACTTTATCGACAGATAATGCTTTTAATGTCAGGAACACATTATCTAAAGTTCAGATCAAATACGTACAAGTTGTTAGAGTGATGATTGCTGGGTGGTCACAGTCACAAAGAAAATTATTTTCTTCAGGGGGTGTGAATGACCTTCAGGTGGATACAGGTTGCGACCTCATGGACTGCGACGTTAGCACCTTTCCAGCACCTATAGATCTTTCGGACAAAACATGTGCCAAGTGCCTTACTACCATCTTTTCGGTAGACCGACAGGTTAGACAGGCTATAGAAGACAATTTTGTGGCCAGTGTTGTAGACTTGTCGTTTGAGAACGCACTTCAAGCACAGGGTGTATGGGATATATATGTTGAACTTGAACCAGGTGAAGCAAGTGAGTCGCCGTCGTTATCCCCGTCGTTATCCCCAACAGGACGACCAAGCAAGCGCCCAACTCGTTATCCTACCTATCCACCAACTCCTCGTCCTACTCATCGGCCAACTCGGATACCAACAAAAGCCCCTCGTACGAAGAGGCCTTCAAGGAAGCCGACCAAAAGACCAAGGCCTACCAAACAACCGACAACTCCTCCACCAAATACAGCAGCGCCAACTCAAGGTATATTCGTGAAAACAGAGGAGCTATTAGTTTAAGATTCCAAACCGCTTGCAATATAAATGAAGTAGTCTGGTGAGAGATTTCATTGTGATGATGTTTGAGTTCAAGGCCTCATATTATCTGTATACAATGAAATAGGAAAAATGTCGAAGAGACACTAGTGAATCGTATCCAGGAGGTAATGTTCAGCATCAGAAATGAATGGATGGAGACCGTCGATATAAAATCTTTTTATCGCAAGAAAGAAGAGTGGTGAAAAAGAACTTCAACGGGCGGAGAAGCTTACATTGAGTTTCAAAACGTGTCTGAAACGCATGTTATGTCACAAGAAATCTGCCACGTTCAGGAAAAATTGTATGTCATAGACTATTGTTGACGTATGGCGAACAACCAGGCAACAAATGATGTTTCATAATTTACTTGGTACGACAATGAGAACAATTGATTTGGGAAAAGCCAGTATGAGAGAGTGAGTAATCCATAAATTGTTAGTGTAACTGCAGCAAAGCAGATTAGTGAGTGTAATGCATACGAAACATGAAGCCCTTCAAGCTTTTGAACATTTCTTATCAAGCTAGTTAAAGCATTTTTCAAATGGATTAATTGTCATAAATTCAATTTAATCATATTTGTTTTTTTGATCATTTGAAAATCAAATCAAAGAGTCCTCCTGTAAAATCAGTTGTCACACCAGCTGTGCCTCGGCTGTGGGTCGTGTATTGGAGAATATATCAAAAGAATGTAATCTAGATACATGCATATCTGACTGTGTTTCCGCTTTCTGTAATTCTTTCTCAAAACTCCAAACCGGTACAAATGGTGCTCGAGTTTCTCGTTTCGAATTGGTTGTTGAAAAATATGCTCAAGAAACCCGACTTATTCAAATGCCCCAAGATCCGACAAGCCCGAATCGTCAGCGGAGGAGTCTCCCATCAAACTCATCATATTCTTCTTCATCTCTTCTCGAACCTCTAACTCTCTGAGATTGTAGCCTACTGCTAGCTGCCACATACAGAGCTGCGCCATTGCTTCACCTGATTGCTCTGTTACTGTGTCGGGGCCGATTTTTCCGTCTCCGATTCCTGCCAGAACAGCTTGAACCAAACCTTTCATGCAGACCAAAACGTCTTGACTCATGGTATTGGTGAGGGATTTGAGTTCTTGAGCCGGAAGGGTGCGAATGTAGAGCAGGAGATCTTGCTTAAGCGCCTCGTCCTTCGTTTCTTTCTTTTCGGTCAATTCATCGCGCAACCTAGAAACCTCATCTCGCAATTCCGACATGTAGGCGGCAGCGTCGACTTCGATTTCCATACCGTCCTCGGCTTCAACGTCGTCACTCGCAGTTGTTTTTGCTACTTCTTCTGTGTCAGTGTCTGCATCTCTCTTTCTATATCGAATTTTGAGCTTCCCCTTAATTTTACCAGAAACTAAGGGATCGTCCTCTTTGTCGGGTAGTTCTTCCTCAACACCCTTCAACATAAAATTAGATGAGAGACTACTAGACATACCTAAAGACTGACTCATCGATAGACGATATTCAGCGTTCTTGAACATGTATCCCGTCATTTGGAGTTGAAACATCTGGAGCGTCATAAGTCGGACAAAAAACCGAAACGGCACAAAAATAATTCATCCCGCGAAATTAGGTACCACAAATTTCAAAAAAGGATCATAAAATAATGCATTGTGTGAGAAATCAAGACTAAAATTTCCTCAATTGAATTCGCATCTTTCAACCAACAGCGCTGAGAGATCCTAACAGCACGTCGTGCCGGTATGTTTGTATTTCGTTCCACGTACCAGGCTCGCTAGTCGCTGCCCCGTTGTGATGCTCGTCGTTTCAAAGGCCATTTTCGGCAGCGAGCCGATCAGCCCCAAAATTGTAGTTCGGACGGCCTCCTGCACCCTCGGATCGGACTCTGCTGTAAATTTCGAAATCAGGTCCGAGGGACTGATTTTGGATACGACCTGCATGTAAGGATTTTTAGCCAACAAGCTGGGAGAAGGCGGACTGAGTTCACCGTCGCCGTCACCTCCTCCACCAAATAACGTTGACGATGTTGCGTTTTCGCTACCGGAGGATGAAGAAGACGACGAAGATATGAGAGAGGAAGAAGATGGCTGATCGGACATCAAATCAACATCCTTGCTCTCGGCGTCAACGTCGTTGGCTTTGTCGGCGATCTCGTCAACGGTTTCATCAATGGCATCGGTGCCATCGTCGGCAATAATGCTGTCGAAGGAAATTGGCAGACTGGTTTCGCTCATGTATTCCCGAGCACGTTTCATGTTTTCGGAATCCGGTTTCTTCATCGGATCGAGAAAGTCCCCCAGGTCGTCGCCGTCATTGCTTCCGCCGCCTCCCCCATTGCCATCGCCAACAGATGAAAACAAAACGACGTTTGTTTGTTGAGTCCAAACGGAACGCCATTGATGACGAGAAGCGGATCGGAACGCTGTTACGGAGAAAGCATCTGTGGTAGTGATCCTGAGAAGCAATCCCACCACTAGCGTTACTGGAATTACACCCCGTCCTGCTGCGCACAGCGGAAGGTGTCGGGTGGATGGTGTATTTGCCATCATATTTTTGATGATTGTCGTACTATTGTGAGAGGCAAGTGTTTCAAGTTGTGAGTTTCAATTGTCTAACAACGGGATTACTTCTTATCTTTCCAATGCATTCACTTTTGTGACACTTCTACTCCTTTCGGTGCGGTGATGTGTTTGCTCACGAAATGTTTCGTTCTCACGACGAGTTTCTTTCTATTTCACGTTTGAGATCAGAATGCTCAAGGTGTCGGAATCAGCAACTTGGACAAGATTGATATTGAAGGCCCCGAAAGGTATGAATCATACCGAGAGCTCAAACCAACCCGATCGATACACGTGTCTCTGTGATGGCCAGGAGGAAGAAGAACAACGGGAACGAACAAATATTTTCGGGGGAAGGAAAAATACTCTTGCTGCCCCGTTATTTTCTAAAAAAACAGAAAATCAATTCGGAGATTGGCGGAGGGTACGAGTAATAAAATATTCTGTCGGGCCCTGTTTCTTACATCAAAATTTGGCCACCACCAGCTACTGTGACTTTGGTGAGCCAGTTCTAAGCTGGCACCATGGCATCCTATGGGTTCCCAATGACACAGACATCTAACTATTTATTTCAATAAGGACTACTAGTAGGTGCTTAGTCCACTGTTCTAGAGTTGATTTTTGGTCACTTGCTGCTGGCCTATTTTGTAACACACAGCCGGTCTTGTTGGAAGAAGTAGCAAAATTTGGCAATTCCAAGTAGTAGTAGTAGTAGTAGTAGTAGTAGTAGTAGTAGTAGTAGTAGTAGTAGTAGTAGTAGTAGTAGTAGTAGTAGATGAGCATGTCAGCCGCTGTGGACCTATTGGTTAGGACACCTGCACACACACCTTGTCAACACTACTATGACTGAGCATATCACCAAAGCAAAGGACATTAGAGCTGGTTCTAGAGCAGTTCTGATGGCTCTCAATCACTTGTTTTTCATGGTCTGAAAACGAAATAAATACTAGTACTAGAACAACTATGTACTAGAACTCAGTAGGAAAAGAATTATTATTGTTCTTGTTGTTGTTCTTGTCGGTGCTGATATTGTCAGTAAATCAATTCACAACCAAACCATCCCCAATCACAGCAATATGATGTAGTCACCATACTTATTAGATCGTAATGCTTATTCTTGTCACAGTAGACCAATTGGAACTGCTGCCACCAAGGGAAGAAGAAGCTTCCTTCCTGGTGTTTTTGCCATGTTTGCTGAATCCAAAAATTTCTTACTTTTCAGCCCTATTTAGAATAACAGTTGTAGAAATAAGAGTTCTTTGAATCCAGAAACAGTATTTGTTGACCTTACAAAGGAGACTCAGCGCTTTCTAATGGTAGCTAGTAGTACCCTCTGCTTGTCTCCTTACTAGAGTGCTTTGGTTATGGATGTATTGCAATTCCCATGGTCATGTTGAGGTGGATTTGTTTGGTGAGTGCAGATTGTGTCTTTTTTTGTGTAAAACATGTTTAGGGGTCCCTACAACTTACAGACAGAACTGCTGTTAGTATACTTGTACAGTACAAGGAACGAAACCTAATGCAGTGGAGACAGGCTTGGAGTTTGTAAAATTGTACATGGCTCTATGGAGGGAACAATACACCTCATTTTGTTTCCCAACTTGAACCTGTCACACTTGTAAAAAAGAAATTATTCCAGTCAAAGGATTATCTGTTTCCAAGCTGTTTTTTTTCACTTTTTGAGAATTCAGATTGGGGAAACAAAATTGATTTCCGGACACTTCTGTTGACATGGTATAAAATTGAAATCAAAATCAAAATGGTTTACAAGAACAGATTTCTTTACAATAGAAAGCTTTCTACTGGTGCTCACTAAGGAGCTACTAACTACTGGACACTAAACTTAAGCAACTTCATCACCAACAACCATCCCCTTCACTCCTTCCAGAACATTAACTGGCATATTGTTTGCAACTCTCTCCTGTTCAGTCATCCCTGCAAGATATGATAGGGTAACTTGTTGCTGTCTAGCTCTCTCCCTTTTTAATGGTGCATTGTCCCTAATTGTAAGAACCTCTTCGAAAATACAAGAAAATTCTGGAGGGAAAGTCATATCCTTCTTCACTTCCAACCAAAGGTCAAGCACTTCTTGTTTCTTTGCAAGAATCTTCTTTTGTTGCTTCCACTTGCACAATACTAACTTGAGTGTAGAAACTGCTGGTAGGGACTTGACATCTTCCTCATTGTTAACATTTCCCCCCTTGGAGGCACACTCTTCAATTAACCTGGTAACATTCTTGGCATTGAACTCAGATGCTGCATGAGCCATCTTCTTTGTTAGTGTCTCTAGGTCTTTCGTCTGATCTTGTCTTTGGTTCTTCCTCTCATCGGCAATAAAGTAATCCTTGGTGTTAAGTGTATCTCCTCCTGTAACAATAATGAACTGTTCACTGGAATGTTTTGCTCCAGCCAGAGTGTTTTGGCAAGCCCTTGAATTTTGGTGACTTTGCTATCTGACAAACAAGACCTTTTGCCCAGACAGTTTTGGAAGTAGCAACCGAGAATGCTTTATCATACTAGGCTGGCTCCTACACAAGAACTGGTGCTGGTTCATCAGACGCAGTATGATTTCCAAAAAAAGGAACAGGAAATTGTTTTGCCTCATGTTGGAAACAAACCAGAGTTTCCAGATTGTGATGATGCATTGACTTGAATGATCAGTAGTTTTTGTCTGTAGGCTGAGTCGTATGTGTTGTATTGGGAACTCCAGTATGAAAATAAAACCCTTTTGCTTTGAGTTTTGCCAACACGCCAATGTCCTTATGCTTGGGCCCGCTGTCCACAATGAGGAGAACTCCTCTATTGCAAGGCAGGTCAGCCCCATCTGGGTAGAGTTCAACAATGAAATTCATCATAAAAAAGGTGAACTCCTTTGCATCCATCCCTACTGCTGTAGCATTGCAGTTCCTCACAGTGATCCCATTCTCTGTCAATTTATTATTAGTACTGGTGAAGAGACCTTCAATGTCAGGAACACCTTCAACAAAAGAAATCTTTTTGTCCTCATCTTCCGCCTTGGATTTCAGTTGAATATAGGTGTACTACTGTTGTAATCTGGACACCCGCCCCCTTGTTCCTCATTTCTGCAGGGCAAAGAAGAAAGGGAATGTGCAACAGAATGATTTCCCGTTGCTGGATTTTGGTAACCATACAAGTAGTAGTACTACATCAGCTGAACAGGTTGTGTTACAGCCAGCCTATGATAAAGCATTTTCTGTTACAAATTCCAAAGCCATGTTGGAAAGATTGGTAAACACTGTTCACCAGCAGGGGGTGTCTATCTGATAGCAAAGTTGCACACAGGTTGGTTGTACTGGAACATAGGAGTCATAGCTACTACTGATTTAATGGCCAATCCTTATACAATTGCTTTGATTGAGAATGAAGAGAAGAATGTCAAAGCAGTGAAAATCTAGAATGATTCTGGATTCAACAGCAGTATATTCCAAAAGTATGTTGCACCAAAAAAAGAAGGAACTGTTGGCTATGGTCACCATACTCAATTCCCAGCAAGAAGCTTCTCCTCGTTGCAAGATCATTCTCCTGCTAGAGCAAAATATTCCAGCCAACAGTTCACTATTACAGGAGGAGACACACTTAACACTGGTGACCATCATTTCATTGCTAAAGAGCTGAAGAATGCAAGAGCAGGAGAACTGCAACAATTGAAGACCTAGAGACACTAAAGCAGAAGGCCAGTCATGCAGTATCTGAGTTCAATGCCAATGTTATTACCAGGTCAATTGAAGAGAGTATAAAGCAGAATGCCAGTCATGCAGTATCTGAGTTCAATGTCAATGTTATTACCACCAGCAGGTCAATTGAAGAGAGTAGTCGTACCGTAGGAGGCGGAATGGCAAAAGTAAAGGCTCTAAAATGTATTTTCATTCGTTTCTCGTGGGTTCTTCAGAGGTTCAGTACATATCGTAACTACTAGTTCCTGACCGTAAACACCCGAAATTCAAGGACCCGTAAAAATCGAAAACCGAAAATCGCGAAACTTTGAACTGCCCGCCTCATTTTCATTCGCGTGCATTCTTATTTCCGAAACAGAAAACACAGTCGTTGGCTTACACTCAATTCCTTAGTATTCAAGTATGAATATAATCAAATTGATATCTCATTTTTTCACATTGCTAATTGTTGTGCTATGGTCTAGAATATAACCTTCCATTCGCCAACGGATGTTAGCAAAGTAACGGCCTCAAAGAATTCAACCGGACCCAAATTATTGCATGAGTAACAAAAATCCTCTTGCATTCTTGCGAAACCTACAAATAGGCTCTGTACAGGTAAATCAACAAGGGTACAACAAAGCAAACAAAGTCGGTTTCCAACGACAAAAGTTGGAGGTCCCATCAATAAATTGAATTTTTTCTATCTTACCTAGGTCAGCTGGAAATGGAGACACTAAATCTTTTAATACAAGGTGGAAGCTACGGTCATGTAGAAAGGAGCAAGAGCGTCGAGAAAGCTGGCCGCAACAACCTTCGGAGACGAACAGAGGAGGTTGAATACTGGAAAAACAAAGCTGGGTGGTACGATGATGATGCATCCATGGCAGAGTATAATAAGGGAGTTTACGACACGTACTATGTTGGAACTGATTCTGGCGCTTCCGACTATTCGGGTTCGTCGTCGAGCAGCAGTAGAAGTGACGGATCAATGAACGTCTCGCCCAACCAACTATCTGCAGGACTCAAAATCGTGGCCGCCGTTTTGTCGATCCTAGTAGCGATTATTGTATTCCGGGTGTTGTCTAGACGATCCAGTAAGAAGAAGGTCAGCTCTTCCAGCAAGAGCAAATCAGACGGGAGGAGCATGCGATCCCGATCTCGTTCGAGATCTGGTCGGAGTCGATCGCGAAGCCGCCGCAGCAGCAGCAGAGGCCCATCGAGCAATTATGAGCTGATGGACGACAAAGGAGACCGCTCGAGGAGGTCCGGAAGGAGCCTTAGTCGATCGCGCCGATCGAGATCCAAATCAAGATCTTCAAAGACCCGTTCCAAGTCACGGACCAGATCGAAGATCCCAGACAGCCGAGAAGTCCTTGTGTAAATCAAGGGCGATCGTCTTAATTCAAAAGTCGTATTCTGCTTTAGCTCGCGCACCAAACCTATTTGTGTTATATCAGGCTTGGTTGGTGGCTAGGTCCGAATGATGAATGCATGCTGGATTCTATTTGTTGCGACTAGGGCCATATATTTGTCGATAACCATCATGCCAAAGGTTGCTGCACCATTGATTGATACGATATTACAGTAGCAGAATCGAACATATTTTTGACTTCGAAGTCATTTTCTTTCGTTGAAGAAAAAATTGTATCGACATCCATGCAATACCAATATAAACCCATGGCACTATAAAGAACTGTTGTTTAATTAAATCAATTTATATCTAGATTTCCATAATCATTGATCGAGACATCAAAACAATGCATTTTGAGCCTTCAATTCTCCTACACCAAAATCAATAGTAGTCCTTTATCCCATCCCAGAAGTTGAACCCAATTGTCTCTATCCTGATATTCTAGAGTTGCCAAAAAATAAAAAAAATTAAATACTTATGGTAGTAGTGATCAATACATCATCATGTAGGACCATGATGGACATGACATGATTTGTAAATGTACGGTGTGTCCCAGTAACCCCAAATTTAATTTTCCGCTCTCATCTTTGCATTGTGTGTTCTTCATCTATTGCTTCATTTGTCAGAGGGTATGATGGTGCACTAATCTGGTCTGTTCGCGTGGGTCCACGTATACGAGCAGAGCAACAAGTGTCAGTATTGCTCTATTCTACTGGGCGATAGCTATTGTAGCGGCTATGCTATTCAACCAGTACCAGAATAGCGATTTACAAGTCGCCGGCCTTGATGGCCTCATATGCCCACTTCATCCAAGGAACGAGAGCTTCGAGGTCTTCCTTTTCAACGGTGGCTCCGCACCAGATTCGGATGGATGGAGGAGCGTCACGGTATCCACCGATGTCGTAGGCAACATCTTCGGATTCCAAGACAGCTACGAACTTCTTGATTTGCTCGGGGGTTAGGTCCAATGTCAGGCAGACAGATGTGCACGAGCGCGTTTCCGCATCCTTTGCCAAAAAGTCAACCCATTCGTTGTCCTCGACAAACTTTTCCATGACGGCAAGATTGGATTCGGATTTCGCAACCAATCCAGGGAGTCCACCGATGGAGGATGACCACTCCAAGGCATCAATGTAGTCTTCAACGGCCAACATCGATGGTGTGTTGATGGTGGATCCCTTGAAAATTGCTCCATCGATCTTTCCCTTCTTGACCATACGGAAAATCTTTGGCAAAGGGCGGTTTTCGGGTGTGTACGATTCCAAGCGTTCAACGGCCTTCGGACTCAAAATGAGCATACCGTGGGCTCCTTCTCCACCTAAAACCTTCTGCCATGAATAGGTGGTAATATCAAGTTTCTCCCAGGGCATGTTCATTGCGAAGCATGCAGAGGTGGCATCGCACAAGGTAAGACCGGTTCGGTCATCAGAAATGAAGTCACAACCAGCAGGGACACGAACTCCCGAGGTTGTTCCGTTGAAGGTGAAGCAAATATCGTGATCGGGGTTAGCCTGAGACATATCGGGAAGCTCTCCGTAGTCAGCGGTGTACTCGTTCACTTCGACGCTGTCTCGAAGATTGAGGTGGGATACGGCATCACCGAACCATCCCTTTCCGAAGGATTCCCAGTGGAAAACATCAACGTTGCGTTGTCCCAAAACATTCCACATGGCCATCTCATAGGCTCCAGTATCAGAGGCGGGGACAATTCCGACGAGGTAATCTTCTGGAATGCCCAAAATGCGCTTCGTCTCGTCAATTGCATAGGCAAGACGCTCCTTTCCAATCTTGGAGCGATGAGAACGTCCGGCAGTTCGCGCATCCAATTTGGCAACATCGTATCCGGGACGCTTTTTGCAGGGACCGGAGGAGAACTCTGGGTTGGTCGGCTGTTTGTAAGTTTCGTTGATTGCCAGGAAAAAGGCAGACACGATTTGCGGAGCAAACAAGTAATTTGGACAGAATCGGAGCGACATTTGTGGAGACGTGAAAGAAAGAGAGGAATGGAAGGGGTCCATTTGTTAGAACAACAATGTTCTGAGGAACTTATACATCCTGCCACTTTTTTGTCGTAAACGGATGAAAACTCAAAGAAGTGAAACTACGTTGCATTCGTCAAATCCACAGATTCATCGTACCTTGGCAACGGAAGGTGTGGCAGCACTCATCATACGAAGAGAGGTGAAGGCAACATTTCTTCGAGTAGCAGGGGCTCTGGCGAACGCCATGGCTCTCGTAGCGAGTGGAGTAATTCGCATCATGATGTTAATCTTTCGTTTGTATTAGCGATGATATGTGAGCGATGGATATGCAATGCCGCCGGATCCTTGAGCAGAGAGGGTGAATTCTTGCGGTCGACCCGAATGCAATCCTTAAAGCTGATGTGTTTCCGCTGTTTAACGAATGTAGCATGAGTAGTATGTTTTAAGGTTCAGTGTACGGCAAGAAATTTGTGTGGCTGTCGTGACCCAAAAATCCACGCGAATCCAGCACAATTTGCACGAGTTTCTCCTTCTGAACGTGAAAACCTGATTCTTTGAGGTCCAAAAAGGTACGTTTTGAGAGCAAAAGCGTCCCCCAATCCGTCGGAGTTGCATTTTCCGCGAAACTGTCGTTGCCGGAGCTTCCTTAACTTACGTACTCGTACGAAATTTTGCTGCAGTACTACAGTATGATGTAACGACCCCTGGATGTAACAATGTACAGCACTTCTACCGTAATTTATTCTATCCGTCCAACGTCCAAAACTTTATTCAACGAGTACGTATCGTACCTATGTACCGTACTTCGTACCGTATGATTATTCTTTCATTTATATTTCGTCGGTTTTCAAGCCCTACCATATGTTACATTAATAACTAACATATGTTCATGATAGTACTGTACGTAGGTCGTAGGAAAGGGGGGATAGTTTGGGGGAAATGGTTTTTCTTCTCTCCAGTACGTAAGAACATCCCCGTTCTTAAATTTTCATGCAAAGTACTTCAAAATTTTAAAATACAGTAATAGGATTCTTGCTTCGACTTCATGAATAACCGTTGGAATGACCAACACTCGATCAAAATAGGGCAGCACCGAAAACAGTTCTGTGCAGACCAAAGCAATCGACCATTTATTTTCTACTTCCACCATGATGAACGACGTAGTAGTCGGTCTTTTGTTGGACGAGGAGAGTGAAGCAGACAACAAGAAAGCACGATTCCACAATGGGAACTCATGGGTAAACGTGGTCAAAGAGAAACATGATCCCGCGGAAGCAACGATAACAAATAAGAAGCCGGTATATTTGGTTCGAGGGTCAGCGTTGTCGTCTTCAAAAGACGAAACGCCTGTGTCTCCTGTCTTGGATGGCAACGGGAAAATCCTTGTAGCCATTCAAAGCTTCCGAGGTATGAACTATGTGTTGTGAAATCCTTGCTTCTCAACAGCATGCCATTTTCCGTACCATGCAATCCTTGGTTAAGAGCTCCACGCCCATCACTTTATGGTACAAAGCTCATAACATTGTAACATTGTCATAATCTCTTTCATCCTTGCATCGTGTGAATGAAAAATCCCGACGTAGATGGTGAGCAATGTGGCGATGCCTTGGTCGAATTGTTCAAAAATGCAAAAGATCCAGATAATGTTGTTGTGAGTCTCGTCGAGCAACAGAACGAAGATGATCCATACTGTGTCGAAGTCTATTGCAAAATATCAGCAGGAGTTGAGGTAATCGAACGCTCGGACTCAATGATTTATTCGATCGACGAAAATAAGGAAAATTGTCCCCGAATAAACCAGATCCGTACGGTACGAGTCCAAGACATTTATTCAAAGGGGCCGCCGTGGGCTCGGGCACTGGGACGTCGCTCCTTGGGCAACGAAGAATTTTGTTTGCAAACTGTTGCCAACAGTGCCTTTGTTGAGAATTGGGATGAAAAAGTCCGAAAGGAATGGATCTCAGTGAAAAATGAATTTGGCATCATTAGCAACCCTCCACAACCAAGGGATAAAACGGGCGCATACGAGGTGCCGAGGACTTGCACCATTGAATTTTTAGAAGAGGAAGAACTGCCCCATTATAATCCCGAGCCAGATGGAAAAGTCGAGTTTCTTGAGGAACCCTTGCTATCACACACTTGGTCGCCAGGCTTCAGTTTCTCGAAGTGTCACCTGGAAGAAACTGCTCCGGCGGATGGGTTTCTTCCATATGTGTCCTCGGATATTGAGGCTTTTGCACGGTATGCTCGATTTTGGACGCGTGGCTATGATGTTTACACACCTACACAAAATATTGTATACCTTCAATCTGGTGGCACCAGCGAACATAGTCAGGAATGGATTACTAATCATGGCAGTAGGAAGTCTATTGTGAGGGAAAAATCATTGAAAAGGATTCGTTCCTTCCTCGAAATTCAAAGCCAGGATGACGACGACTCAGTCATGGAGAAGCCAAATAATCTGGGTATCTATGGTATAGGGAAACGACGATCTCTCTCACAGTTGAACGCATTTGTGGGCATCACTTTGAATGAACAGGTATCGCGATCCAGTGAAATCCCTTGCGGGAATTTTCATTGGGTACCTTATAATTCGGAAATATCACCGATGAATAACTTGTACTCAAATCCAAACAACCTCGACCCACAGCCAGAATATCCGCTACGAACAAACCAGACTTTTCAAGGAACATTCGAACAATCAGGACAAAATCTCGATGCCAATGACAAAGAACCGTTCGCGCCATCAATACGGAAGGACTCCGACGATCTTCCGTATGGAACAGTGTTCATCTTTTGGGTGATCGGTCTAGTTGTTTGGTGTTCTGTTTTTGGAATCATGGCTCCGAAGAGACCAAAGCGAAGGAAGAAGAAAAGACAAAATACAATAAAGAACAAATAGGTCCGTTTCGAGCTTTAAATCGCGTGATCTCTGCTATGTTCATGTATGCCAATGGGAAATAATATAAATATAAAATGTACTCTTTCACGATTCACGACATTACAAGGAGTGAATAGCCTAATACGTACGTACGTAGCATACCATAACCTCCATACCTTCAAACCTAAAAGCCTAATTGGATTGTGTTTAATTCCAGCACGCTCCCAACACTGACTCACACTAAAACTCGAAACTTGAAAAATGAAAAATAGCACTACCGGTAGATAATTAGTTAAGTACTACAACAATTGTTTCGTACTGCTTGGTTTTTGATGTTCGATTGAATAATCAGACTACAATCATCTTACACCTGTTTAGTGGCGTGTATCATTCGAGGATTGATTAGAATTCGAAGCACGGGGACTTTAGACTCTGAAACAGAAAGTCTATATTCCATATCAACATCATACCATCGACGAAAGCTGTAATGGTAGGATACAAGAATCCACAAACAAATAGAGCACGAATGCACCGAAGCCAAACCTTTCGATTCCTATTCGCCACCGTTCTCGCTGCCATCGTAATGCTCGCTCAGACAACGAATTCCCTCAGGGTAGCTGTTCTTGGTAGCGGCGTCGCTGGATCGAGCGCCGCTCGGATACTTGCCGATCGTGGTGTTGAGGTCACGGTTTTCGAGGCCGGCTTTGGGATTGGTGGAAGAACCTCGACCCGCATCACAAGAGACGACGGTCGATATCAATTCGACCACGGAGCGCAATACTTATCGGGTCCCAAGACCGATACCTTTCGGGAATGCCTCGATGGCTGGAAATCGGAAGGATTTGTCAAAGAGTGGACCGGAAGCTTTGCATCGGTCGACGGATCTGGGGTAGAAGCCGAGGGACCAAAAAGCAAAGAACGATGGGTTGGCTATCCACGCATGAATTCCATCTGTAGCAACATGCTGCACCACAAAAACATCCGGGTGAAACTCCAAACCCGTGCCGATGCGGCACGCAACGAAGCCGGTAGTAAATGGAACCTTAAAAATGGGAAAACCGGAGAAGATCTTGGGACGTTTGACTGGCTGATAGCAAGCGATCGAAACAGCGGAGCCCACCATCGAAAGGATTTGTCGTCGGCTGGCGTCGACGAATTCATAGTCGGCATCAAGGACATACAATCGGTCAAATCCCTAACTGCTATGGTCGTCTTCGAGAAATCCCTCGGCTTGCACCTGGACGGGGTGCAGTTCGAGGGGACCGAGGATAAGCACGGAGCACTGGGATGGGCGGCTCGCGATACGTCCAAGCCGGGCCGCGAGCGGACCGATGGGCGGGAATGCTGGGTCTTGCAGAGCCACCCCAGTGCGGCGAAACGACTGCTGAAAGGAAAATACAAGATCGACGAGATCCGAGAGATGGCGAGGGACGTGCTGGTAGACGACTTTTTGAAGAGCCTGCCGCACCTGGCGGGTGGGAATGGCCCGGACGAGATTCCACCCATCGTGTCGGCCGTGGGTCACCGATGGGGAGCCGCGTTCCCCGTTCCTTCCCAGGAGTACACCGACGTGGAATGCCAGCCAATTGCTTCTAAGCAGTTTGTAGCGTGCGGCGATTATTTTGGGAAACTATCGGGCAGAATCGAGGGAGCTTATCTCAGTGGCCGATCGGCAGCGAATGAAATCCTTCGGCGGAACAAAGAACAGTTTAAAGAGTAGTAGTTGATGTGCGATGCTTGCATGCATCTCGATTCAAACACAATGATTTCTGGATCTAAAACTGATAATTTAAATTGTTCACCACGAACTTCTATCGTATCATATCGACGCCGCGGTGTTCTTTCCCCATAACAGTTCACCGAACGGCGCGAAAAGCATCGAACCGAACCCCCACTTCATCGAGACTCGAGCTTTGGTGTTGCGAGCGGAGAACATCCCTCGTCTTCTCGGCCGCCCTTGGAATGATAGCCCCCAACATGCTCCGGTAACGGTGGTGTGTGTGGCACGCTCGCCTCGACGGTGCAATCCCCACCGCTACCGGCGGCCGCCGTCGTCACTGTCCGGATAGAGACGGTCATGGGGGTTCCCATGGAAACGGTTCGGTTCGATGCTTTTGGTACGGTTGGCGACGATGGTGTGTCCTCGCCGTCGCCATCTATTGATGGCAAAACCCGCGGCGATGACCCCTCTGTGGAGTTGGCCTCCCCGAACAAAGCCGTGGTGGCAACGGTGGCGCTTTGTGGAGTTGTTGGAGTTGTACCTCTCCCGGTAACAGAGCCGATCCTTTTGTCGCAAGACACCATAATAATTGCATCGGCACCGGACCCGTGGCGTTCGTTGGCAATCGCGGCCTCCACCGCCGGTTCCTCCGACGGATCCGCCTTTCTGGGCCCCATGGGGGTGCTGCTGCTGCTGCATTTGCCATCCCGGAACCCACCGGCGGTCCGTTCTGCAGTCGTGCGCTCCGTTGCAAGCCCTTCTTCGTTTGTGGTCCTCGTCGAACCAGGGCACGCGCGTTTTGTCTCCCCGGCGGTGGTGGGCTCGCCGCCATCGTTGGTTTCGCCGCGAACGCGAACGCTTGCGCCGTTTTCGTTTTCGTTTTCGTCGTCTTCGCTGTCGGTTTCGTTGCCAAAGTCGTTGAGCGATCCCAGCGAGGCGATCAGTGCCTGGACCCCCTCGAGGCGCTTTTCCTGGAGCTTCCGCCTCCGCTCCGAGAAGGAGAGCTTCCGATTGGCTTCTGTTTCTCTCCTCTTCCACGAGTCGGCCTCGTCCTTGACCCTTGCGAGCTTGGCCAGGGCGGACCGATGCAGGACCGCCAGCTGGTCGATCTTGTCGTTGGCCACCGCCAGGGCGGCCTTGTCGGCACCCGAGGTCTTGCGGAGCCGGACGAGTTCCTCTTCCTTCGACAGCAACAAGAGGTTGAGGTTGCGGACGGTTTCTCTCTGGCGTTCCATTTGTTCCCGGTAGGATCGGTTCATGCGCTTGCTGGTCTCGTATCCCCTGGAGATGCGTTCCAGCAGCAACGGCAGGGGTGTCTTGGATGGCGAGCCGTCGGCGGTGCCACCATAGATGGAAACTTCGTCGTCGTCGTCGCCACAATCACTCTGTTCCTCCTCCCGGAATGTTCCGCTCCCGCGTCCGGACGCGTCCTTCGTTCCTCCGGCCCGTTCGCTGGTTGTCGCTGTCGCTGTCGCTGTCGCCGTCGCTGCTTGTTCCGCGGTTCCGTCGGCGTCGGCGTCGACGTGTTCGCCGCCGCCGCTTCGGCCCCCACGGAACAATATCCGCTTGAGCTCGTCGTCTCTCAGCTGCATCCGGGTCCGCCTCACCAGGCGCTCCCGTTCGAGGGCCCGGGAGAGCTTCTCCCTCTCCTTCTCGAGGGCATTGGAGGCCCCCCTGGCCTCCACCAGTTCCTCCAGCAGGGAAATGTTCCGCTCCTTTTCGTCCGCCAGCGCGTCGCTCGCCTCCAGGCGTTCCCCCAGCTTCTCCAGCTCGAGGGCCTCGCACCGCTCTTCCAGCTTGCGCTCGGAGGAAACGTGGGCCTCCCTGAGCGAGGCCACGGTTGCGGCGCATTCCGATCGGACCCTTTCGGCCCCCGCGTGGGAGGCCGCCAGGAGCATCGGGGCCGCCTCGAGTGCCACGACCAGGCGGTTGTGCCCGTAGCAGGCCAGCTGGGCGTACTCCAGAGGGATCTTCCCGTGGGCGTCTTGGACGAAGGAGGCCCCCGGGTGGCGGACCAGGAGCTCCCGGACGACCTTTTCCGACGCGTTGGTGACGACGGCCAGGTGCAGGGGGAGCCGCTTGTCCCTGTTGGAGGTGGCGACGAACAGGGCGTCCGGGTCGGCCTGGATGACCCTGAGGACGACGTCCGCGTTGGCATCGGGTCCGCAGGAGCAGGCGGCGTGGAGGGGGAGCCGGCCGCTGGTGTCGGTGGTCTTCCAGACCGGCAGCGGTGCTTTGGTGGTTTCGGAGGAAGGGTCCCCGCGTTCGTTCTCGGAAGGGGGCGACGATCGATGATGGTGGGCTTCGTACTGTCCGAGGAGCTGCTCGACCACGGGCAGGGGTGGACCGTGCCGCAGCAAAATGTGCAGGAGGGACGTGGTGCCGTTCTTGCAGAGGATGGTTTGCTCGGACGCCGTGGGGTGTTCCCTTAGGAATTCCGAGGCCCCCGTCCATTCCCGTCGCTGCAAGAGAAGAAAGAAGCCGCTGAGATCGACAAAGCCGTCGTCACCGTCGTCGCTGTTGTTGGTCTCGGCTGGTTTGGTGTCTTCGCCGGCTTTGCTCTCCCGGATTTGGTTCGTCTCGCTGCAAGCGTGGCTTTTGTTGGTTGGTTGCTTTGGTTGCTTTGGTGGTGGGGAAGAACGCGGGCTCCTCGGTGTTCCTCCGGGAGAATTGTTGGACTCGGGGATTGTTGGTGTGTCTGTGTCGACGATGTGGTTGTGGTTGTGGATGTGGTTGTGGCTGTGGTTGCCGTTCGCGCTGTTTTCGATGCCGTTGCTTTGGCTCGCGCACACGCCTTCGCTGGGAAGCCCGGGCGGCAGCGATACGCAGGGAGACGGCGGCTCCCGGAATTCGAATTCTTGTTGCAGCTGTCGCCGGCGCTGCCGGAGCCGCTCCAGTTTCGACGAGGCCTGCGAGAGGGAGGAGGCGACGGTCCCGGGGGAGGACGCCCCCGAAGGCTCTCCTTTCGTGGGACCATTCTTTTCGTTTGGGTCGAAGGAGGCACGAGCATCCCCGGAAGCGGCCCTCCTCCCCGCCTCGAAGGGCGTCGGCGGTTCCATGTCGTCCACCAGGGACCGCGACCGCTGCGGGGTCTGCAGTTTTGCGGCCTGCGAGGGTGCCTGCGAGGGTGCCTGCGACTGCCTCGCTTGCCTTCCCTGAAGCGTGGGCGGCATTGCCTGCACCACCGCCCTGGGCCGGTGCAGGTGGGAACGGGTCTTGGCCGAGGGCCGGGGCTGTCGCTGTTGCTGTTGCCTCGAGGGGGGGTTCCCGCTGGATCCGCCGCCTTCCTTGCCAAGGCGAGACGACCGCGAGAGCCGCTTGGGGTGCTTCCGCTGGATCGGCACCGCTTCGATGGCCTCGTCGGTGGCTATGGTCTGGCAGGCGGAATGGTAGTGGCTCCTGGGGGTTTGTCTTTGTCGTTGTGTTTGTCGTTGTGTTTGCCTCTGCGTTTGCGCCCGGGCCGGGGTTTGGTAGGCATCGGAGAACCCGGAGGCGTCGGTCGCGCTCCCGCTCGTGCTGGTGTCGACGCTCGTGTTGACGCTCGTGTTGATGCTTGCATTGGCGCCGGTGTTTGAAATGCTGCCCGCGTGGGTGCTGCCGGTGTTTGCGTGGCTCGGCTTTGCGCTTGCGCTCGAAATTGCGCTGTTTTGGTTCGTGTTCGTGTTCGTATCCACCATGGTCGATTCCGATGGGGAAGGGCTCGAGGGAGAAGACGGACCCTCGGGCGCCGGTGACTCCGACACCGAGATCATCGTCCTCATCGCTGGACCGCGAGCCGTACGAACTCGCACGCACCGTACAGGGGGGGGACAACTGCCATGCGAAAAAGGTCTGCGGTGCGGTGCGGTGCGTTGTGGTGTTGGCACTGCGATGGGTGCACGGGGGTTGTGGTGTGTTCGTTTTGCGGAAAGCTGGGTTGTGGTGCGATACTGTATACGGTACTGGGTTGTGTTGGTTGTTTGTCCTTGGGTTCCGTTTTCGAGTGCAACACCGCCCGTGTGTCGCAAGCCAAAAACGTGAGGAACGAGGAATATTCCGCGGAGCAAAAGAATGCGTGCTGTTTTTTTTGTCAAGAATCGTCACGATCGCCTGCCGGGAGGGAGAGGTGTTTTTGGGTGTGCTGTGGTGGTACGCATGGTTGCGGTTCGGCTTCCCACTATGGTGGTTGCGACGCGCACCGGTTTCGAACTTTGGGTTCGCACGAACGAAGGCCTGGATTCCGTACATCCTTCGCGGCGGGAACCCCCCCCCCTCCCGAGTCGTCCCCGCTCATTGAGTCGTTCCGCGCCAACGAGCGCAGGGGAGAACCAGGATGACTGTTCGGGTTCATGTGTGTTGCGTGATGGGTTCGTACGAGTACGTACCGTACCGTATCGTACGTACCTTGAGGTAATATACATTGGTCACTACCTACAGTACCGTACGTAAGTGGAAGTACTACGTACGGTACACAGGAGTCGACCTCTCGTGGACAGAACTGTACGATCGTACCTACCGTAAGGCGTACGAGAAGGCGTCAATGATTTGAGCCGTGTGATCAAAGTATGTTGGTATAGTACGGTACATAAGATATGAGTACCGATATATTTCAATACCCCACCGGATTGCGTCATCGATGACATCACCGATATCATGCCGATGGCACGATAGTGCGAATGGTTCCAGGTACGGTACACCATTGTCATACCGTACCGTAGCGTACAAGCTACACAAGCCGTACAATCAACATGCTTTTTCCTCAAAATTTTCTTTCCAAATTGATGACATCTGAAACGGAATTGCTCGGAAACCCAAACCGCAATCCTCCAACGCAACACAACGCAACGCACCATCAATACCAGCGAACCAAGCCAGGAAACCACCCTTGGACCCTCGCTCCGCACCAAAGGCAAACAACACGCACACAGACCAAAAACAATGAAATCCGCCCTCTCCCTGCTGCTCCTGTCCCTCGCCGCCGGCACGAGCCGCCACCAGCGGGCTTTCGCCTTTTGCCCGCCGCCTTCGGCCACCACCGCCGCCCCCGGAACCACAAAGGCCGCCGGCGCCGGATCCACGTCCACGTCCACGTCCACGGGCCTCTCCATGGCCCTCACCCTGTACGGATCCCAGGGATCCCGGTCCCCCCTCGTCAACTGGGGGGCCGCCGAGGTCGGCCTCCCCGTTTCCATGGCCCGGAACCTCTCCGACAACCCGCACCCCTTCGGGCAGATTCCGTGCCTGGCCGACAGCGGAAGCGGCGAGACCGTCGTGGTCTTCGAGTCGGGGGCCATCCTCCAGCACCTCTATGGCAAGGCGGAGAGCACCGACGGGGACTCCGACCGGCGAGCCGCCGCCGTCACCTCGTGGATATCGTGTGCGTAGGAGCGAGCCATCGCGCCGTGAACCGAATGGCATGGAATGCATCGGAATGGAATGCAATGCATCGTCGCGTCGTGTCGTTTGTTCGGAGTTGTGCGTTGTCGGGTAAATTTTCTCACCGACAGGTCTTTTGTTGTTCTTTGGATTTATTCGCTTTGGTTCGTTTCTTTTCTGCGCACGCACGCACGATCCGCAGGGGCCAACGCCAGTCTCGACCCGATTTGTTTCATCGAAACACCCGACGGAAAAGTGTACGTAAGGCATGGGATGCAACGGTAACAGACAGCATTCTGTGGTTTTGGATTGTTCTCTTGCTTTTTTTTTTTGGTTCCATCCATGGAAGGCCTGGATCAAATCCTTTCGTTTGACCCGCTTTGCCACGGTTGCTCACGTTGTTTGCTTTGTCCATTGCACGCATCGGTTGAACCCGCGCATCCTGTGGTTTCTGTGGCGTTCTCGTTGGCACAACCATCGAATTTCGTGCACGCAACAACAACAACAACAAACAAACACACACACAGCTACGACACCGGCCTGAAGAAACCCAACAAGCGGATAGACGTCCTCGAAAAGCTCCTGGGGGAACAAGACTTTCTCGTCGAGGGAGGATTTTCCCTGGCCGACGTTGCCGTCGCGTCCTATTTGCTGTACGTTCCGCAGTTCTTCCAGGGAGTGAGCCTCTCGAGGTGGCCAAACGTGGTGAGCTACATGAAGCGGTGCGCAGAGCGCGAGGCCTATGGGGCCGCCTTTGGGCCGCAGGTCCAGGCCTACCTCGTCGCGGCGTGCGAGGGAATGTTGCTGGAGGCGGGGTCCGGGGGCGGCGACAAGAAAAAACTCTTTGGAATGTTTTGAGAGATGGGGAGGGACCGGCACGAAACCCCACCAAACCAACCATAGAGCCGCCACGGTGCAACAACGCACGCACTTGGGATACCAGAAAAAGGGAGGTTCGCATCGTGGGTATGTAGCAGACCACGTTGTGCACCGGGTACTGCGGGAAAAAAGGGGAGGGCTCCGGTGTCGGCTGTAGCACCGAGACAAAACGAAAAATAGATTTTTCTCAATAGCACGACCAACTACTGGTACAAAATCCGACGTGATCACTCAAAATACTTGTTAAAATTTACATATAATGCACTATGTACAAATTGGTGCTATGGTACAGACATCGATCTTTACCTTTTCTTTCTTGAACGCTGTGATAGCAACGCTTTCCCGTGCACTTGCGCTGTCCATCGCAATTACACTAAGAACAGGCCATTCCCTCGCCGCGTTCTTCCCCACCAATCGTGCGGCTTTCTACCCTTTCCTCTATGACGCGAATGTCACGTTTCTTGGTGCAGCTATAGAGCGCGCTGAGAGAAATGTCCAGTGAGGAGAGTCGAGGCCGCTTGTTGGGACCGCCACCTGTGCCAAATCCTCTTCTCTTGCTTGTTCCCTTCGAAGGGCATCCCGCGGCTTCCTCTAGAGATCGAATTAATTGGACTCGAACCATCTCCAAATCGGCCGAGATCGACCCCCGTCGAAAGCGGCTGGTATCATGTCGGATCCAAGACTTCTTGAGCAAGTCAACGGCGGATATTCGCTGCTGTGGATCATGGTGTAGCATCGAGCGGACTACGTCCTTGGCTTCCTCCGAAATATCGTTCCAGTAGGCTTCGGGGAACTCGACAAAGTTCTCACAAAAGACGGGAGGGAATCCACATAGTAGTATGTAGAGAGTTACGCCAAGAGAGAAAATGTCCGTCGCAGGGCCGATGGTGCTTCCGTGGAACCCTTCTGGGGGAGTGTTTACCGAACATCCAAACAATAGTCCGGGAGTGGAGGGCGACAACTCACCGTCGCTCGAGACCTCCGGAAGTTGTGTTTTGGTTTGCTGATACAGTCGGGCCATGCCAAAGTCGCATAGCTTGACCTTCATGTCGGATTCGTCGTTGTTGAGGAGAAGAATATTTTCAGCCTTGATGTCTCGGTGGACAATACCGAGGGCATGGAGTTCCACTATTGCCTTCAAAATCTGGTTGGTGATACGCGCTGCTTGTGCTTCCGAAAACCTACCCCTTCGAAAGGAAGACCTCTGGGTGCTCTTGCGCTTGATAGCATCAAAGAGCTCTCCGCCTCTACAGAACTCGGTCACGAGATGGATTTCTTCGTCCGTTTCAAAGACATCGTATAGCGTCAGGACATGTGGGTTGTTCCGGAGTAGTTTCATGATCTCCCATTCATCCATATGTTTCGAACCTTTCGGCCTTCGCAATCGCCTCGCACGCAAGGCATCGAACTTGGAGATACTCTTGATGGCAACTTTAGTACCGTCCGTTATCCTGAGCGCAGATCGAACCGTTGAAAAGGCACCATGGCCTATAATCTTGCAACCGGGAGCTCGAAGATTGTACTCGTTTTCCAAGAGTCGGCTCGCGTCGCACCCGGTCAAGCAGACCGTCTCCTCCGGCTTGCGGTAGGCTGAAAGGGTAAGTTTCTTATATTTCCGCGTAGATGTTCGCTGAATACAGCATGATATTGTTGATTTGGTGCGGGACTTCGATGGGGTTATCGTTCCTTTCGATTCTGATGATGATGAGACAGGTGTTGCTGATACGTTGAGAGATTGAGATGACATAGAATCTCGGTTTCTTGACAGCCGTGATATCGCGCCTCTCCTTGTTTTGTTTGTTCCGGTTCGTATCGTTGATGTAACTTCGGCAGCAGCAATCTTTTCTAGGTGTTCTTCCATTACAGAGGGCGATTCAACCTCGAGCATTCGATGAAGGGGCATCATGAGAAGTCTAGATGAGGAAGTGTCTTGTGTATCTACTTCCGGCTCCATGATTGGGACCTCTTCCTGAGCTTTGTCGTGATTGGAATGTTTTTGTTCCTTTTCGTTGGCTGTATGTACTCCTTTCGCTAATGGTGTACGTGATACATCGAAGAAGATCCCGCTAGTTATTTTTCGAATCATCTCGCGATGCTGATGCTGTATCGTGTCTTCTTTCTGAACAATGATGTTTGTTCCGTTAGGGTTAGGAAATCTTTTCTGTGCTGATGGTGTCATTGACGTCTTGGGATGATCGTGTTTGAAATTGCTTTTCGTAGCACGAGTGATGCATGGCGAAGTACGTTGATTTGTTCCTGTCACAATCTTATGTTCTGTTTGCTGATGCTGTCCTGACACCGGAAGATCGGATTTGTTCTTTAACACTTGCGCGACGGAATTCTGCGCGCAAACAGAATTTTTGATGCGTGATTGGGAAAGTGCGTGATGCATCGGAAGATTCGAGTTTTTCGAAGAGATTTTTTCGACGGAAATGCCGTCTCCGTCTTTGGTGGAACCGGAACTACCGAGAAGGAAGAGACGGGACTTTTCTTCTGATAAGTCTATCGTTGACATTCGTCTTTCGTCTTTTTGCCTTAGACAAATAAATTTGCGAGACAATTAACGTTGTATTTTTGTTTGATCGGAGTGTTTTCGATGGCAATGAAATTCGTGTCTTTGTGGTCGATGGCATGAAGAAGTTTCAATCGGGGATGGGAACAGAGAGAGAGAGAGAGATGATCAGAACCGTTGTGAGTGTGTTGTCAAGTCAGCTAAGAAAGTTCCATAACAAGATAGTCGCGTTTTTCATAAATTCATCAATGGACTCGTCATCCGTGTCTTTTCTCAAGTTCCATACGGTACGGTAGGCTCGGGAATAAGCCCAACGGTAAACAGTCATACGTGATTCTTTTTAAATTCATGACCGCAGTCGTGCTTTTTCTTGGAATAGACGAGCCCAAATGGTTTTTTCTCCAAGAAAAGCCATTTTAAACGTGTTGTTGCACCATCCACCAATCACCATCAAGGATGATCCCTTATGTTCTTCGAGAATATTAGACATTCTTCCGGAATAATTATGCCTATCGCAACGTGCACATCAAGGGCACAAAGTTCCATGTTTTTGAGCCTGCCATGCCCCGGATATTTGAATATTTCATATCATCGAGCATGTCATTCTCTAACGGAAGAGAAAAGCTCTTGCAATAACGCGCGATTTTCGCGCGTGGCCAAAAAAGTCGTCTGTGCGTCTGTCAGAAAAACACGATTCCACATCTTTCATATCCTGAACTGCGAGTAAACAGAGCAACCAGGAACGACTACGAGTGCCGTATGGAACAAGCAGCAGCAGCTTCGCGACGGATAAAAAGTCCCGCGAGGGACAACAAGATGGAACGAGCAATGGAGCATTTGACCACACGAAACACTTGATGCTTGTGATGGAATCCATCCTTATTGCGTTGGCCTTATTGGCCTTTAGCTGGGATTCAGAGGCCAAAACCAGCAGGATGGTATCTGGAATTCTTGGACGAAAAATTATTCAGGTGAAGACAAAATTTCGGGACGACAGTCTCCTAAGGGTTTGACGAGCGGATTGATGACGATTTCCGATCGTTCAATGATTGGTGGGACAGTGCGGGAGCGGATCCAGGGATGCTGATCATCATAATGCAGCGTATTGCCGAAGTCGGAGTGGACGAATGGACGCAAAACAAAGGATCGAAACGCAGTTGCTTACCTTTTGGATCGAAAATCAAAAGGTATGATGATAAAGGATTTGTGTTTGGTATGTTGTCGTGTTTTGTCTCGGTATGGAGTCGAAGGCGCCATGAATCTTATTGATTGCGAAATTGATGGCTTTCAAAAAGGTTTGTTTTCCGTAGAAGAAGAGTGAGTCGCACGTTTAGGAAGACGTGAACAGTTGGTTTTTGAGGTGTCTGTCGGATAGAGTTTCGAGGCAGGCTCAATGGAAGCGGTGGATCTTTTTCCATCAAGAGCGCGAAGTACATCAACCGGATATTCAACAAACAGTAACCAAACGACATCATCGGATTTCATAAAACGTCACATTCTACTTATTGAAAAAGTGCAACAACGTTAAGTAAGAGGACGACACGTTTTTGGTCGCGCTACTAGGTACAGGTGACGTAAGCATTTTGATTGGATATATTTTTTTCGAAGGGATCAAACAGCTCCCAATTCTTTTAAGGAGGATCTTTGTCTTCGACGTTCTTATGGATGTCTTCCGGATCCTATGGTTCAGGACTGCTCGTACTTTAGAAACAGGGTACGTTCTTTTCGATACCCCCCCCCCTCATACGGTACGTAGCGTGCCGCACACACGCGATGAGACATCAGCAGCTCGGACGACATTATTTGCACGGCGACATGCGTTTGACGGAAGTTTTGAAGTTGTTGATGGAAATGTGTCATGAAGTACGATCAATGATGACACTGTTCTTCCAACACAAATCAATACTGTTTATTTTCCGTTACAAAAAGATTGTAAAGTGTTACTCCTGAATTCTGAGGTATGCTTTAAAACGCACTTGAAACATCTGGTGATTCAAGATGGCCCAATTCATTCATGTACGATATCAATCCCAGATCTAGTCTAGCAATGAAATCCAAGATCCAACGGCATGCCAAGCAAAGAATTTCTGCACGTGCGGTATGATCCGAATGCTAGAAATGAATTGCGAAATGGCAAGTGCGTCCAAATCAATTTTACGAAATCATCTTTGCCTATTTGCTCGATGGCAATCATAACAAATAAATCCGTGCACAAATATTGGTTGCACCCTCATGGGGTATGTCAATTATAACTGAAAAAAGCAAAGATGATTCAGTCTGACTAGGGAGAAAACGTGGCCTTCCTTTCTACGAAGGACTCTAGCGTAATGTTTGTTTGTCGCGTATGAGCTGATAACATTAATGACAAATAATTTATTATGTTGTTTTTATTCCTAGCGGTACCCAAGCCATCCATCTATTCCCGATATGATCCTACGAAACGGCCGACAAAGGAACTATCCCTTTTCTCGGGTGGAGAATTGTTGCTCGACATTTTTATGCTTGGTCCGCGCGACAACTTGCCAGACTTACCAGTTCTGATGCTAGCACTGTCACCATTTTTTCGAGCAGAACTCCTTTTTTTGCTAGATACAAACGTACTTCCTGTAGATCGGAGTTCGTCTTTCTGTTCAAGGCCTTGAGCCATGGGAGATACCGAGGTGGACAATTTTCGAATCGACCCCATGACCGACTCAAGCCATTCGGAGTGTTGGTTCAAGGTTTCCATGTCTTCTATTGTTAATTGAAGATCTTCGGTGCGCTCCTCCAGCTCTTTTTTCTGTGATTCAATCACCTCTTCTGCTTCCTTCAGTTTGCTTGAGAGATCAATAGCTTCTTCGATCTTGCGATCGAGGGAGAGCTGAGTCTTGCTTGTCTCTTTTTTTGCCTTTTCTATCTGGCTCTGCAACTTGCGACTTTTCGTTTTCAAGGCGTCTTCCAATGATTTGATGCGATCTTCGAAATCGCGTGTTTTGTCCTGGAGGTGACGATCAAGATCTTCCATGTAATTGGTACGTTGCAAGATTTCTTCATCCTTTGTTTTCAAATTGGCTTCGAAATTTGCTATTTCTTTCGTGTGAACTTCATGTATCGTCTTCAACTGTTGTGCTTGTAACTGTTCGTAGCCTCGAATCCTTCGCTGGTAGTCGCGCTCCGTTCGTTCGCTAGCCAGCTTTGAAGCACTTTCTAGCCAGTTTGAACGCTTCAAACATTCGACAGCGATCCTTCGGTGGGAGTCGCTCTGGATGTTTTTCGCATAGTCGATGGGAAGCCTTCCAAAGTGATCTCGGATCTTTGCGCCCGCGGGGTATGAAGTCAAGAGAGACATGTAGACATCTTCTTTGATTGTTCCGACCTTACAAGCTAGATGCAACGGCAGGGCGTTTTCTTCATCATCCACCGATGCTGTTGCATCGGGGAAGAGAGACTGCAAAAAGCGAATCAACTTTATCGACCCACCGTGGGCACAGGCGCAATGGAGGGGGAGATATCCCGCGTTACCTTTTGTCATTATTGCTTCCTCGTTTGCCTCGTTCAGAGCTTCAACCACATCGATCGGAGCATTGTATTTGCAAACTTCATGAAGCACAAGGTTTCCAGCTGATGTTCTATCTATAGATCGCCCACTGAATTTAATGCGAGCAATGTTTGGGTATTTTAGCAGACGATGCAGAAACTTTTCCCACTTCTTGTTCTGGATGAGATCAAGCAACACAGAGTTTAGAGGCGATTCATCGTCTTCTCCGTAGGTATTATCTTCATCGACTTCAGCTGGTCGATTGAACCGTCTCTGCCGCCTTTCTTTGCTGTGGAGAAGAACGGCTTCCATTCCTTGGTCGTCGTTTTCAAGCTCGTTGACCGTTCTGTCGGCAATTGCTGGGGAGAATTTCAACCTTGCTTGGTTCATCATTCGCATCCTTCAATACTTGAATCGACAAAATTTTGTTAAGTTCTTGCAAGTTGTCAAGGTTAATCATGTAATGAATTTGCGGTGGGTGGAATGTTTTGCAAGGTGGCAATTCAATTACTGCACGATGTAAGAAGTACGACCTTCCGAATTGCAAAGAAAAATATTAAAAAGTAAGTATAATCAACGGATCAAAGCTTTGGTTTATTATTGGTCGCATTATCGCCTATTCCCCAATATTTGTTAAATCGGTCGTGGATTTTAGGTCGCGCAAAGCAAATCCATTATATTTTTCCACCCATGAAGTGCAAGCCATTAGAGCTACTAAGTACAATTCCCATAATGGCAAGCTATTGGCAATCCCCGTACAAATACTAATAGAAATTTTTAGCTCATTTTTACAGTTAAATCCAGTTAAAAATGGCATCCAAAGGACGAAAATAAAATATTTCCATTGTTTAATTTCTCGCTGGTCCCAAAATATTTCTATTGGTGGTCCTTAATACTAGAGATAAGCACTGATTTGATATTCTCTGTAGTAAGTATCAAGTATAGAAATATTTTCGGACTTGTACTTTTTTTCGTGGAGGAGGGGGAGAGGGGAAAAAAAAGACGGGAAAATAAAAAAAATTGATAGTCGGGAAATTGCCAATAGCTTGCCATTATGGGAATTGTACTTAGTAGCTCTACAAGCCATCGTGCAAGCCCTATGTACGGTACGGTAGTTGCCATGCACGAAAATAATATGATCCAACAGAAGCGTTTCCTTCATTCACGACTAGAATCAGACAGAGAGTCCCGCTTGCCCTACGTTCGATAAATAGTCTATCCCAAACAACAACTACTTCGATTGCTCAACAATCATACTCGCATAGGTCCTTTCGTCAATCTTGCCGGATATAAGGCAAGAGAGTCGAGAAAACAATATGGCAACGATCAGAATTGACGGATCCTGTGGAGAGGGAGGAGGGCAGATCATTCGGAATGCCAGCGCCTTTGCATCAATCCTGGGGAAAAATATTAAAATTGTCAACATTAGGGCTGGACGAAAAACACCGGGGCTGCGACCCCAACACCTCGTAGGATTGAGACTCCTCGCAGCGGCCTCGGGTGCTTCATTATCACAAGGCAATTTTGTTGGCTCCACCGAAATCGTCTTTCTCGCCAACAGTGCCAATGCTGTTAGTAATGATGATAAGCGAGAGTACGTTGGTGACACCCAAACGGCCGGATCGATCTGCCTGTTGATGCAGACCGTATTGCCATTTGCACTATTCCGCGGGATTGTGCGCAATACAAATTTTAGTACCAGAAATATCGACGAGAACAAAGAAAAATCGTTGCTACAATTTGTGCTGAAGGGAGGCACGGACACTGATTTTGCCCCTTCAGTGGATTATTTTCAACATGTTTTCCTTCCCATTTTTAATAACTCTTTTGACTTAGCACCAACCGAAAGTTGTGAGAAAGGCGACAAAGATGGAACCATGAAGACTCAAATTGACCTTTCTGTAATACGAAGGGGATTTTTTCCTCGGGGAGGAGGCGAGGTCCACGCAACGATCCATCGTCCAATTTTGAAAAAATTTCCTTTGCCTCCGATTCGATTGACGAAGAGGGGGGAAATTGTCGGGATCACGATCCGAGCTTTTTCGGCTGGAAATTGCCCACTTTCTATGGCAAGAGCATTGTCTTCCACCGCAGAGGCCACATTATCTTCCACTCCTTCTTGTCGGGAAGTTCCTATAAGCATAGAACTTTTTGACGAATCGTTATCCACGCTACCTTTGATGTCGATCGATCGAACTGAAGGTAACAGAAGCAATGGTGAAAGAAGAGGGACCAAGAGGCGAAGGCATTTGAGCAGTGGATGTGGAATTTTGATTATAGCCGAAACCAACACGGGTTGTCTCCTTGCGGGATCTTCCATTGGATCTCCAAAGATTCCACTCGAGGAAACCTCGAAGTTAGCTGCACAGCAAGTAATTGATGCAATCGAAGGTGGTGGTTGTGTCGATAATTTCCTTCAGGACCAATTGATATTGTACATGGCTTTGGCGGAGGGTGTCTCGGAACTCGTAACGAGTTGTTTGACATTGCACACTCGCACTTCCATTTGGTTGGCGTCGCTGATGCTCCCGTCGGTTCGTTTCCAGGTAACACAACTAGAAGCCAGCGACGACCAGGGCGAACGACGTCGACCTGATGAGAACGAGAATATTTTGAACCGGAACGTTGCTGGGACAATCCCTGGAGGCCATTTGATTCGTTGCTGGGGGATCGGATTTTGTCCAGAGGACAAATCATAGCAAAGATGAACTTAGGATTCGCTAGACTTTCAGTGTTGATTAAATTTGAAATTGAATATTTTTAGTTTTGAATCTTTATTATCGATATTAATTTGACATGAAAATTATACACAAGAGTTGTTTTCTGATTTCGCTCCTCGAGATAGCTTACGGGGGCGTTTAATCTTTAACCGATCTTCGAAATCCAGTTTCGCAATAAGACCGAGCCCGGTAATGTGCAACGATTCGCATCACGATCTGCGCAAAGTCGGCTTGTGGGATTTGTGGAAAATGAGATCTTCCCAATTAAACTTGTCGGATGTTCATTCGTCTTGTAGCCATACCGCTCACTTGAGCCACAGATTCTTTTAATATTGTTGAGTCCTTAAGTGATGCGGCAAGGAGCCCCATGTTAGCGGATAGGTTTGCACCGACGCTGCTTGAGAGATCCCCAAGAGTGTGCGAGATTTCGCCAAGGTTGGCGCTAAAAGACTGTCGGAATTCACCAGACATTTGTCCAACGCTGGAAACAAGTTCTCGAAGAACGGTGGGGTCGTTGTGGTGGTATTCAACGAGGCCACCAGCAACTACCAGTGGAAGAATGATCTTTCGAATAGTCTTCGAACGAGCTGCGGCGTTGTAAGCCACTAGCTGTCTTGCTTCTCGGTCTTGGAAAACATCCTCGTCCAAACCAGCTAACTCAAGACCAATCACACGGCTTTCGATTCCGTCGACGTGCATCTGAGCATTTTGGATAGATGGCTTTCCTCGGATTGCCCTGGCGTCACCGATAGCATACAACATTGCAGCCATCATTACATCGCGTTGTCGGGCAACCATAGTAAGGCGGATGATTTCCTTCTTCATACTCTCGATGTTCTCGAGTTCGTGAGAGAGTTGTGCTAGCTTTCTCTGGCTTCGATCTAGTGCCGTCTTGGTTGCGATAAGCTCTTCGGAGCTCGCGTCAGCTTGTTCCTGGAGCTCATCTTGTTTCTCCTCGAGGCTGATAACATGTTTCTTTTCCCAGTCCAACAAAGACATGAGTTGTTCGCAAGAGTGCTCGAGTGCCTTGACCTTGTTTTGCTCGGTCTCAAGAAGAGCACTTGCACGGTCATCCTCGAAGTTGTGGCCGGCACTGAGAAGTTCGGAAACCTTCTTGGACTCCTCGTCAAGGAGACATTTTGTTGCMGTTAGATCTCTCTCGAGCTTGATATTTTCTGCCTTTCCAACTCCKAGGGCATCCAATTGTTCTTCAATCTTGTGTTCGAGCTGTCTGATTTTTGCTTGATCTGCAATTGCCAAATGTTTCTGAGCTTCTAGAAGACGCTTGTATTCGGCCACTCTATCTTTCTCGTCCTGGACAAGATCTTGGACCTCTCTCAAGGCAGCAGCCATCTCTGTTACCTTCTCTTTCTCTACTTCGAGAGCTCCTGTCAACTCGGCAACTTCGTCGTTGGTTACGGTGAGTTCCTTTAGTGACGCATCCAAAGCTGTTCGACCTACTCTCTCCTCTTCCTCAAGAGATGCCACTTCCTCTAGCTTCGATTGGAAATCAATCTTTGCCTGGTCAACCATGTATTGCATTTCAGTGATGGTTTCTTTCTCGAAGTAGAGTTGTTCTCCAAATGCAGCKGCTTTCTCTTCAGCTTCCAAGACCTTACTGCGCTCTGTGCTCAAAGCAAGTTGGATCTCCCCGTGTTCCTTTAGGAGAACCTCGAAATTTGTTCTTTCTTCTTCAAGTACTGCTGTCTTTTCATTGACGGTGCATTCGAGCCTATTGCTTGATTCCTTTCCAGCTTCCAACTCCTTCGACAAACCGGCGTGCTTCCCTTCGAGTTCAGTAACACGGTACTTGTGATGGTCTAGAGTTGCCTGCTGTTCCATGAGACGTTCTTCGATACTGCTGGCTTGAGAATCAGCTTGGCTATCCATCTCATCCATTTCAGACTCGTCGTGAGGTTCTTCGAGAGTCTTGACTTTATCCTTCTCCTCATTGAGAATGTCACGTAACTCTTCCTGAGCTTTAGTCAATCTTTCCACTTGTTTCTTCTCTGTCTCAAGCATTGTTTTCAAATCGTTAAATTCGTTTTCGGTGGCTTGAAGGTTTGATCCTTCTTTTTCCTTCTTCGATCTGACGGCCAACTCCTCTTCCTCCAATTTGGTAACCTTCTCGTTCAGAGATTGGACTCGAGTGCGCGCAGTTCGTTCAGCCTCTTCGACTTCAGCAATCTTTGAAAGTTCCTTCTCATAAAGAGCTTGCAGCGATTCCAGTTTGTCCTTGAGATCTTTCACGCTCTTTCGCTCGTTGTCGAGAAGCTTTTGCATCTCGGAAACTTTCTCTTCGAGTTCTTTTACCTTCAGTTCTTCAGTTTTCAACAAAAGGCGACTGTTTTGTTCGGTCTCAGCCATTTGTTCGACTCGTGCTCTCTCCCTTTCCAACGCTTTCAAGCTTTGGTCTTGTAACTTTTGGAGCTCCTCGATCTTTTCCTGATCCATTTGGAGCTCTTTTTTAAGTTCAATTTCATATGCTTGAAGGCCAGCTGTTTTTTCAATCTCAGCCTTTAACTTATCTGCAATATCACTGTAGGCGTTCTCGAGCTGCTCTCTCTTCTGACTTTCGATTTCGATACGACTCTGGTATTGAGATTCCTTCTCTCTGAACTCGGCCTCAATTTCTTCTCGTTGCTCATTTTCGATGGCCAGCGTTTCTTTCAAGATTGCTTCGAGTTCGATGAATCGTTTTTGTTCAGCCTCGAGAAGATCATTAACCTTTGTTATGTGAGATTCAAGGAAGGCTACTTTCTCCTTCTCGTCTTCGACCGCTTTTCTGTACTCGGCTCCTTGAGATTCAGTTTGAGCTTCAATGCGCTTCGTGCGTTCATTTTCAATTTCGCGACGAAGTTGACCCTCGAGAATTTTGAATCGGGAAGTTAGTTCTTCGAATTTCGAAACCTCACTTTCGTGTTCTTGAAGAAGAGCCATAGTGTAATGCCTGTGAGTTAATTCTGCTTCTCTCGACTGCTTCTCGAGGTTGTCAATCTTCCTTTGTTCCGCCTGGAGCATGGCCTTGAATTTGATCTCTTGTTCGACCAATGCAGCTGTTAGCTCCTTCTTAAGCTTCGCACTAGATTCTTGGTCGAGCTCGCTAATGGCTTTCCTTGCGTTCACTTTGTCCTGTTCGAGAGCCTCTATTTTCTCGAGAAGCATGTTTTTCTTGTCATTGTGAGTTTTTTGAAGCGCCTTGAGAGTTCTTACTTCTTCCTGAAGAAGATTGATTTTATCCTTTTGCTCATCTTGGAGCATTCTCGCATTAAGGCATTCTTGTTCAAGAAGGTCTTTCTGCTGTTGTAATTCGGAAGCCTTTGTCTGCTCGGCACCGTATTGAAGAGAAAACTTCCGTTCCCTCTGGTCAAGCTCGGACGTTACTTTATCAAGCTTTGCCTTGGTGGTCTGCAACTCCCGTTGCATGTGCTCGCTTGCCTCAGAGATGGCATCGCCAATCGATGCTTCGCTACCGGCAACTGACCGCGCCAAAGAGCGATGAGAGCGGGAATGATAAGATTTTTCGAGGGTTCTTAGCACTGTACCTCTGTCTTCTCCACTCAATTCATTTGCATAGTCCACAGGAGTCTTTGCATAGATGTCTCTAACTTGTCTGCCTTCAGGGTATGCTCCGGTAAGAATTTCGATGACTTTCGATGAAGCTCCCCATTTGCAGGCAAAGTGCAGAGGGATCATGAGGTCGTTGGTGTCGCGCATTCTAATCGAAGCTGGGAAGGTATCAAGAAGTTTTCGGACAACATCTGGTGATGAATTTGTCGCACAGGCATAGTGCACAGGTAAGTACCCTTTCCCACCCTTAGCCTTTACTGCATCAGCGTATTCATAAATCAATGCACTGATCACTCGAAGGGGAGGATTGTTTCTGCATACCTCATGCAACATCAAGTTTCCTTTGGCGGTTGACTGAATGTTCTTAGGACAAGGAATTGAAGCAGATCGGGGATAGATTTCAAGGAGATCCAAAAGATCATTCCACCTTCGCTTCTTGATCACGGTGAAAATTTCAATCAACTTGCGCATGTCCAACTCTGGTCGCGAATTTGAATCCGTTGCCGGGTTGGCACGATTTCCTTCGGGGGCATCTCTGAGATCTTTTCTTCCTGAAAAACTATAGTTTTCCTTGTGATATGATCCAGGAGCTTCACGCTCGTCGGATACTTCACTTACAATGCTTCGTCCGCCTGATTTATCAGATCCCAAGCGTCTTAGAGCATCTTGTCTTCCAGCTTTCATTCTGTTCATCGCTTGCTTCTTGCTGCTGAGAAAAGCCTCCCATTCTGACTCGGCGTCGACCGGATCTCGACGCGGCCAGCCTCTATTCATCGTCGTAGGATTTGTCATGTTCGGATATAGAGAGTTGATGTAATTTCACTCTATCCTACTAGTAGTTTTGTTTTGTGACTAATATTTGTGAAACGACAACGTTGGGTATGGCCTCGGAGGGAGTTCCAATATTTTGGTGATCGCATGTGGTGAACATCGCAAATAACGTTCGCTAACTAGATTGGCGATAATAGTGTATTCATTAATGAATACACTAGAGTTAAATCAACCGATCTAATTTTGGTCGCGTAAAAACTGGTGAGTCGGAACATCGCCACAAAATAATCTTAGTATGTACCGTAGGTAATACTACGTACTATGAATTGGTGATATGATATGACGTTGTACATCAATGAAGTAAGTGACGTAGGATGGTACCATATTCTATTATAGTACTACGGTACGAGAAATTAGATGAGGTACGAGGAATGAAGGCAAATGAGGGTGAGACAAGTCCGGAGTCGTTACAACTTGTACACGACTCTACAGAGGGAACAATACTAGCTGCAATAGCATTCATTTGCCTTCACAACTTTAACCTGTCTCAAAATTTTAAAGAAAAATATTTTATATCAACATTCCTAGTAGTACTACTAGTTTCTATATACAAAGTTGGCACAAGTTGCTGATACTACAGAGGCATTTTTAATGATACTACTACTAGTACTAGTAGTACTAGTACACCACCAGAGGACTCTTAAAAAAAATTGTTGGCCAATCGACGAGGAGAGGACTTGTTCCACTAGATCCCCTTGTTCTTATTAGTAGTGGTATAATGAAGCCATTCCAGTATGTTTGTTAACGGTAGGTTTTGTGAATAGCTCTGTTAGGAGGGTGAGACAAGAAGTCTTGTGCTGTTTTTTTTCTGACTAGTAAAAACCGCGTGTTTCAATGTACTCATAACCCATTCCAGATTCGTGCCACACATTTGCTTTCCTACTACCTCATACCCTGCTGATTGTATGCACTGTGCACTTTTCTAGTGAAATAAGCTCAATATATGGACAATTTGAATCATTCTATTTGTACACAATACTAGATATATGCCCATTTCTGCTGCATACCATCAATGTGGTTCTTTACTGTCATTTCTTGGCTTCTACTAGTAGTTCTAGTAGAAGAAGTCATTTTGATCATTTTGACAATATGCGGCTATTTGTGAACAATGGTAGTAGCCAAGAGTAGACAATTTACAAGGCAATACTTCTTCTCTCTTATTGTATAGAGTTGGACAGCAAATCTATGATAGTACAGTTGTAGATTTTAGTAGTACTAGGCCCTTCTTGTTATTTTTCCATGTAAAATAACAATTGAACTTTCTTTAAAAAATAGGTTCAGAACATTAAAGTAACATTCCCAATGTTAATTATTAACATTCTGAATGTTAATTTAACGCACAGAATGTTAAATTTATGGTGTAGGCCGAAGTAGATCTGCAAGATCCTACTAGTATTATCCACATTCTTCATTCTTATGTAGCAAAACAATTATTTTAGTCTTGCACGTGCCAAAAAAGGAAGAAGGGATCTACAAGAGGAAGAAGAGGATGCCTCCCCTACTAATCATTTTTTGAGTAATTGAAAGACTCAACAGAAAGGTTGGCCAAAATGAAGACTCAGTTCAATGAAATTTAGACTCGTTGGTTACTATCCTAGTAAAGAACAAGAAAGAGAGGTTCCTTTATCAAGCACCACATCTATTGTCCCACATAAATTATGTCTGGATCAGTGCTCTTACTAGTCAGCACATTATATTTTCTTTCTTTGGTCTTGATACAGCAAAGACGAGAGCAGGAGGAGAAAGAGGCCTGCAACTGCAAAGAGGCAGCTCCTTGCCCAATACCCAACACTATTTTTGTTAACATGGATCAAACTTGCAACAATGGCAGCAAGGTCCATACTATACTAGTAAACTACTTGGAGGATGAACTAGTGAGCCTCATGGAATTGATACTGGAGATTCTCCCCATAGATAGAGATCCTCAGTGAGACAACCTTGTCATGAAGCACACATCAAGATGGCCTTTCTTTGTAAGCAAAAAATCCATCAACAGGAACAAATTTTGCTCTGTGAATGATAGAAACATTGTCATGTACTAGAATCAACAAACACAGCCAGCAGTAGAACAAGGGTGTACAAAAATCAATATAGTTTGTTGCTCCTCCTTCTCCTGTTGCTGGTGTACAGAATGCTCTGTTCATTATTTGAATACTCCCCATATTGTTACTACACCAGTGCTGATTAAACAAAGCACTAAACACCACACCTTAATGAAAGCAACCATTGCTTTCTTCCACCATGGGGAACCTGTTGTGAGTGAATCAATTGTATTGACTACAATTTAGTGAATTGTATCATTTTGTGATATCATATTGATTACTAGTCAATTTGCAATTCTAAAGGCAGAATCCACCACAACCATGCATTGCATAGGTTGTGGACTTGCTCAATCCTTTGGTAGACACCATGGTCAGAGATGGTGCTATTGTGTTTGGCGCCAGGGCAGTTGAAGACTGGTATCCTGATCCTTCCATTAGGGGCAAAGCCAAACACACTGTTAACAATGAAGGTGTCATTTTCTTTCTGGTCATTGTAGAATGGCCTTTGTTTACACTACCTGTCTTCAGAAGCTTTAATGGCAGTCTTCAATCCATCAGCTGCAGCTCAAACATGTTGCTCTCCAAGTCCACTTCTTTCTTATTTGGAACACTGACCATCATGGCCTCCTGGAATAATTCTTGAGCCACTTGTTCATCACTATGGATGTCAAGCCAAATGCCATGACGGTTGATCTAGCATCTGCTGATCCTCGTGTCCTGAACCAGTACCAGTCATACCAGTCCAATAGCACAGATGACATTGACTTCCTTCCTCTTCCCATTGGGCTTCCCTGCCTTAGAGAAACAAGGAACCTCAACAATCTCATTAATCTTGTTGACAGTGTACTTGTTGTGAACTGGAGCAAAAGGGTCAAGGAGATCTCAAAAGACCTTGTGGCCTACCACACCACAGCAGTTGAGGAGTGCTTGACCAAGCCTTGTGTGGAAGAGATGGTGGAAGGCAGATAGAGCATACTACCTACAAATTGCAAAAAGGAGAGTTATCCTGTCCCTCCCTCACTTCTCTCCTTCTGGAGACCTTCTGGAGATAGTTTTTCTAGATAATTTTTGCTTGCTCCTGGTCATTCAACTGAATGTACCAGCATATCATAATGGTTTCAACGGTTCCTATTGTGGCCTTCCATCTTGCTAGGAGGAGGAGGAAACTCTAGTCTAATTTTGCAAGGAACACAAAAAAATCAATAGTATGTAGGTATAAAAAAATGTGTGTTCTTCTTACTAGTGGTAATATTGTAGGATTGAAAATATTATGTTTTTCTTATTACCTTGGTGCAAGTGCCTCTTTTTAGCCTTAACAGTCTTTACATTGAAATAGTTAACATTCCAAATTCCCAAAAAGACTGGCAACAAGCCAGCATCCCATGCCGTCTGTCCATTGAAAATTTGATTTCAAGTATTCTAAGACTCTAGATCCCTACACTTGGAGATTAAGGGCATTTAGAATTACAGGAATGACCCAATTGCTACAGGGCTGGTCTACAAGATGAATAAATGAGGCACAATTTCAATATCTGTATCTGAATTGAATTTACTTCATCATTCTAGTCTTTTTTTCTGATTACAACGCAATAAGAATAAACTGTAGAGCGATAGAGCATACGATAAACGAAAGTTTACACTAAATCTAGTATTCTTCATCAACACCGTCATCCTCTTGGTGATGTTACTGTGCTTGATGGCCCCATTGTTGTATCCTTTCCATTCGTGTTCATTTTTCTGTCGCTGCTGTGCTGTTGCATCGATACAGATACACAGCGCAACCGTACGGTTTTGTCCATGACATTTCCATGAATCGAATACTAGGGCGGATTCCTCCMAAGTTAGTTGGAAAAGGTTTTAACGTAGCCACCCATTGAAGGGAAGATAGCTCTCCTACTTCTTGGACTTCCCCCATCTCATCTGTCTCGTTTTGATTGCAAGCCTGTTCCTGAGTTTCATGTTTATGCATTAATATTTGTAAGCGCTCTTCTAGCTCAACCATGAGGGCATCAGGGAAGCAAAGCGACGCAACATAAATGTGTGTTGCGGTCGACAAGTCGACATCAAACAAATCACCCTGGAGCAGTTCAAGCTTGTTGGTAGACCGGACAAAATACTCTTCCGTTAGGAAACCATTGCTATCGTTATGGGAAAATTCGATGGAGTTGACCCAGTCGTTATTCGACTGTGGCAATTGTAGCAAGCTTTCCATGGCTCGAATAGCAGATTCGTGCCTGGAAGGTGACAATTCGATTCCTGTGGCCTTTTTGATTGTTTTGTTTGGTAGTTCCAAAACGGCTTGGCCAACTAGTTTCCCCGTTCCCGATCCAAGATCGAAAAAATGAGCTGGGTGGCGACACTGATCATGATTGTCTCTGCGTGAATCAAGCAGTCCCATGGCGCCAAACAACTGCCGTGCACCCAGTGGTGTGATTTCTCCGTATGTAGATGGTTTTCCTGAAGTAGCAATGATCTCGCCGTTCTCGTCTAATTGTTCCTGCTCAAGGATATCGAATCGGTCCCTGCTATCAAGTTGCTGCTGTTGTTGGTTATTGACGATCCACTCGTCCGTTGGTTGGACTTCGTATCCTGCATTTGGATTCTTCCAGCATTCGTCTATTATTTGATCGACGATATTTCGTCTCCGACTGTCTTCCCATGTGCCCGGGAACGGCGCTATCATTGGGACCCTTCGTTCGATCAGATCTGGTGGGCATAGCAATAACGCACTAATAGCTTGGGCAATCCAAAAGCTAGGTGAAGACGAGAACGACGGCGGCGGTGACGCTCCAGTGGAATAGAGCAGCATGTTTGATCAATTGTAGATGCATCAATCTGACAGGCCCTCTCTTTTCGATATATATTCTATGAGTTGACTTGTTCCGCAGCTTTGGAAATTGGCGTAGGAAACTCAGCTTTTGCAGGTTGAATCATTATTTTCATGTCGTCGTGAACGATGGAAATGAGAATACAGTAATGATAATGATCAAACAAATACTTTTGTCTTCCACACCAGCAGTCTTCTGCGACTTCAAAATGTGGTTCAGAACCTCATTGACAACACCACATCCTTTCGCAACCTGAGATTTTGAATGCAATTGGGAAAACGTAAAACGTACAGTATAGTAACTGGTAGAAAACGTACGATGATTGGTTCGCTCCGCAAAAAACTTACTACGGTGCAAAAATGAAGTTATTGCTAGTAAGGTTGGAGTTATGTTTTGAAAAGAATGTAGTAGAAGGTTTTCAACGAAAGCACTGTGGCTGTTTGCTGTTTCTGAAATAGGAATGGAATTCATTTATTTGTTGTGTATGCTGGGTATTGTTTTTGTTGTTGTTGTTTTTCGTAAGTAGAAGAGGTGTTCTTACAAATAGACCATTGGAAGTTCTACTAACTCCTCTTGAGGACGAAAGCACAACATAAATCCAATTGCTTGTGTAAGACCAAGTTGAAACCAGCCTTGTTGCAGCACTTATTTATGAGAAAAGGTTTACCTTCAAAGAACTCTATCACTCTGTTCCCACAGTGACATGTTGGGCAGAGTGGAGAAAGAACTCCACCAAATAACTCCCCATGCAATCAAGAAGGAGGAGCATGAACTGGAATCAACATCAGGATCAGAAATTCAATGAAGTGAGAAGTGGCCAGCAAACAACTGGTGATGGCCAATTTCAGTTTCAAAGGGCTAGGGAATTTAGGATATTTTTCTGGTCAAAAGGTGTCAGTATCACCAGGTCTTTCAGTGATGCAACTTGCAAGAGTATCAATGGCAACTGAGTGGACCCCAAGTGTGGAGATCCATTGCCTCAAAGAGTGGATTGTCTAGTATTGATGTCATTAGAGTCCTGTTGGATGGGGGCATTGGAAGAGATACAGTGAATCCTCTGGTTCTGTACACAGACAACATCATGTGTCATGAGTCTGATATTCCCACTGTTTGAGAACTGTGGGAGTTGGCAAAACATGATTAGTACAGCATTTGGTGATAAGAACATTCCTGGAGATGTGGTTAGTGGCAACCCCCAAAGACTTCCATGCAATGTCTGCAATTGCAGGAGACGACCACCAATGGTTCCTTTCTTTTAAGTATTCATGATATTGCAGCAGCAGGAGCAGGCATGAATCTGTGAGGGCCGTCCAGTACTAGTAGTGGCTTGTACTAGTTTGGGATTGAATCAGAAGAACAGCTGAATAAGAAGATTGGACTGGTGTGATAAAATGTGGTGTGTGAAACATTGCACAGTATTCAACTGCATACTGATCAGCCCAATCATTTCACTGTTGGGCTTTCAAAGGGAGTTTGTCAAATTCAGTGAGATTGTCTTGGTGGCCTTTGACCCAAGAAAATGACACAGAATAGTATGTGGAGATATCATATTTGTTCAATCAAATCAAATTCTGGTGATAAGTGCTGTGGTGCTATCATTGGCAACAATTTCAACCTATGTGTGTGTGGAGGATTTATCATTACTGGAGGATGTTGTTGTGCTGGAAGATGGAGAGGATCCAACTGTGCTGTCATCAGATCCTCTTTCATTTAGGGGTAGGAGTGCTCTACCAATGTGAGTCACTGCTTGCATGCATGCAAGGGTTCAATGATGAATGCTTCTGTAGGCTTCATAGGAGACAAGGAGTGTAGTAGGGCACCAGGCAAGTTACTTTGAGTGATCTACCACCATGTCTGCAAGTAGTACTATCATTGCCCTAGTATTTGACCACCTATCTCCTCAAATATTTCTTGTTAGTTTTTGTTGTTCTTATTTGCCACATGGACATCCTGCTGCTGGCTTGCAAGAAATCCATTTTATCACTTCTACTAATGTTTCCATTGCGCAATAATCACTTGTTTGGCCTGAAGATTGCTGTGAGAGGTGCATTTGATTTCTTGTTTTGTCATTGCATGCTGTTTTTCCTTTGTCCTTGACTTCAACTTTTTTCATCCATTACTAGTAATTTGACTCCTGGCTTAGCATTACAATGTACTACTAGTAATATCACAACAAAAGATTCAAGCTGACACTATAATAGTAGTACCACTAGTACTAGTAGTAGTATGATAGTAGTAGTACTAATACTACTAGTAGCAGCATAGTACTAGTAGTAGCATTGCTACTAAAAGTACTACTACTACTATTTGCAATGTCAGAATGTCCTCCTTAAAAACCATTCCCTTAAGTTTTATTGTCTTGCATAGATTTTCTTGTATCAACTTTGTGATACATCAGCAGAAGAAGGTTCAATGATTTTGATGTGTCTGTCAAACAGAAAGGCTGATGTACATATACTAGGTTTGTGATTTGCACCAATATTTCATTTGATGAGAAGAAGAAGAAGTGCTAGTAATATTGTGAACCTTTCTTTGTAAGCAAAGAGTCAACTTCAATACCATGGGGTTGAAATTTTCAAGAAGAACTAGCACTACTAGCATTACATCACAGTACTACTACTAATAACAATAGTACTAGTGCTACTAGCAGCATCAGATTTTGATCACTACTACTAGTAGTAGATCAGTAGTAGCAGAAGTAGTTCAAATTATTTTTCTGAATTGATGCAACTTGTCGGTCTATGATTTAGAAAGGATATTCCTCACCAGTCTACTAGGTATTGCTGGAACATGATTTGGGAAACTCAATATTTCAATAGAAGCTCCTCTCCTACTAGTAAACAAGTGATGTCAACTCAATTAGTAATCTTATTTTATCATCATCTGTTTTCTTGAAGGATGAGCAAGCCCTGGTTCACAACTATCAAAAGATAATCCTCTGTCAGGTGTACCACTGCTGCTGCTACTAGTACTTGTAGTACTCATATCTAGTACTACTAGCCATGAAAGTAGTAATCTTCCTTTGAGCAGTCCACCAGCAATTCAAAAACTGATCTTGTTGTCTACAACAAATCATTGGTACTAGAGACTACTAGGAGGGGTAGTAATACCACTACACAAACATCAGCAGTTAAGAGATATCATGACAATTTATTGTAAACAGCAAGTGATCAAATTACAAGAATGAGAATACATCATGGTCCATAGTACTACTACTAGTACCAGTCAAAAAATATAAGTAACAACTCAATATTCTTGTTGCTGTTTGCAATTAGTCCTAGTGCTGGTGGTGGTAAATAAGAACACAAAAATGCTACTACTAGTATATGTTGACTGATTTTATAAAATAAGTTTCACTTACTTGCTGCTACAAGATTCTCACCAGAAGCTTGAGCAGAGTAGAAGTACTGGTATAAAACAAGTGAACACTAGCATGTGCCATGAGGCTTTTTTTTGATAGTGAATCTATTTGCTACTATGAAGTTGTGCACGTCACCTCAAATTAAACGAGTGGGTAGTACTACTAATAAATGATATTATTTTAATGAAAACACAACTTTACTTTTCAACATATACTGCTACTTTCGTCTACAACAGTCACTACACGGATGCGCCTGCTTATGTTTTCCGTTCTTGACGATGAATGTAAACTAGATTCAGTGGTTCATTTTTCTCATGGTATGTCTCTGGCCTCTCACTTGTCTAGATTGATGTTCAACTTGATACCAAAACTGCGAAGGCGGGCCATCAACGAACGTGGCCCGGTTGCGACTGACGAAAGACTCGGAACAGAGGACAAAGAAATGCTAGGAACAGAGACTGAAGGTACAAGAGCCAAAACATTATTTCGACGTTCACGAACAGCCTCAGATTGTTCTCTGATTTGTGTCTTGATGTAATTCGAAACAAGGTGAGTCTCCTTGAGAATTGATTGCATGCCAAAGTTAGCACTGAATTGCGCTCCAAAAATAGCACTAACAAAATATGATGTCGGCCCGTTTGGCATGATCTCATTCTTGCGTAAGACAAACTGCTTGAGGCACTTTTCGACATATTCTTCCTTCGTAATCAAAGTTTTCTTCTTTGTGATTTGCTTTTCCAATGCAGCTGCGGCATCTTCCTGATTTTTGATCTCTTCATCCAATCTGACCTGGGCAGCTTTCACGCTATCGATTACCGCTTGTTTCGAAGCAAGTAGAGCCTCACGCACTTCGACGTCAGATTTTATTAATTCCTGCGCTTTTAGCTTCGAATTGAGAATTTTTTCGTTCTCTTCGCGAACCTTTTGAAGTTCGATCGTCACATTTCTCTCCGCCACGAGTAGTTCGCGTTTTTCAGCCTTAGCTGTTTTCAGGGATTGTATCGCACTTCTTTCCAATGTTAAGTGAATCTGTTTTTCTGCAACTATCGCTTCAAGTTCCTTAATTCGCTTCACCTCAGTATCAATCAATTCTTGTTTCTTCGCAATAGTTTGTTGGAGGGTTTTCTCCTTCATCTTTTCCAACTCAATCAGAGCTTGCTTGCGAGCGATTGTGAAGTCGAGTTCCTTTATTTGTTCCTCTTCAATTTCAATGGCAGCTCTACTCGATGCTCGTGTGCCTGCTAGCTTTGTTGTTCGCTCAACTTCCTCTCTTTCCAAAGCTTTCTTCCTTGCAATACTCTCTTCCAACTCTTTTACGGCCTGTTGATTCAGCTTCAATTGATTCTCTTTTTCTCTTCGAGCATTGTCGAGAGCCTCAACCTTCTTTTGCTGCGCTTCCAAGAGTTTTTCTTTCATCTCATTACTTTTCGCAAGTACATGGATCATTTCCTGGTTTTCCTTCATCAACGTCTTCTTCTCATTGATTCTGTCCTTGATCTCATCGGTTAGAGATTTCTCGTACATCAGTCGCTGGTATTGGGCCTCCTCATGGTCACCTGAACTTGACAACTTAAGTTCCATCGAGGCCTCGAGCGCTTCGATCTGTTTCGATTGGGAGTCGGTGAAACTTTTTTGCGCATTCAACTCGTCGCCTAGCCCCTTGATTTTCTCGCTATTGACTGCCTTGGTCAGCTCCAGTTGTCTGATCAAAACTTTCGACTTGCCACACTCTTTTGCGACTTGCTGTCGGCTCCTTTCCAACAATTTTTCCGACTCGTTTACCAGGTTAGTTTTTTCGTCCAGTTGAATCTGCATCTCATGGACGCACCCGAATGCTGCGGCTAGATTCAGGTCGTTTTTCTCCAAGATCTTCTGTCGCTCGAACAGCCACTTACTCTGCTCCAATTTCAAGTCAATCTCTTTGTCGGAAATGGTTTTATAAGCATCGACAAGTTTAGCTTCAGTTTTCTTACAGGCATCTTCTTTCTCCTCTAGAATCTTCGCATGTTTTTCATTTAACTCATTTTTGATCTCGCCGATCGCTTTATACGCCTCGGCCAATTGAGTGGCATTCTTTTCGTATATACTATTACGTTGTGTTACCCACCGTTCTTTCTCAGCCATTGCGGTGTATTCAGCTTGATCGAGCAACTTCTGAGCCTCTGCAAGGAATGAATCAGCCTTTTCGTAAGTCTTTTGTTTTTTGATTAGCCACCTCAACTTTGTCGCTTCAAATTTTGCTTCAACAGCAGCCGTTCGTTGACGCTCACTATCTAAGTTTGAACCAAGAGAAGAGGACTTGTCGCATTGACTTCTCAATTGTGCATCAAGAATTGAGCATTTTTCTTGTTCATCGAAAAGTTTTTTCTCTAGCTCTTCTATCCTTTGTCTTTCCTTTTTCAATTCTTCGGCAGATTTCTTGAACTCCTCCTCCATATCTTTCGCAAGCACACTCCATTCATCGCAGTTCTTTTTCAACTGTTTTTCGAGGGTCGAGGACTTCTTTCGCTCATCTCTGAGTTCACCCTCGAGACGGCATGATTTATTGAGCTCCTTTTTCAGGTTCTCGCCAAAAACAGATGCTTTCGCACGTTCCGCTCCGATCTCTTGCTCGAGTTCAATTATTTTCTCTCCGCTCACTTTCAGCTGAATGTGGAGTTGTGTCTTCGACTCTTCTTTCTCTTTCAACCATCCTTCGAGAGAAACCGATTTCTTCTGAAGGTCTTTCAGCTCGGTTTCGAGAGAAGAAATTCTTTCGTGTCTTCCTCCCAATTCCTTTCGGATGGAGGTGCATTTCTCCTCGCTCTCTCGAAGCGATTTTTCGAGTGCCGTGCTCGAAATATGCATCGATTGAATGTAACGCCCGAGAACTTCTAGCTTTTCTGCTCGTTGGGATCCCTTCGCTTGGGCCAGAACGTAGTCCATGGGTGTTTTATCATAGACATCCTTGGCGACGCATGCAGGTGGATGTGCTGTTACCAATTGTTTGATGATACTCGCCGACGCTTCTTTCTTGCAAGCAAGGTGCAATGGGAACATGTTGTCGTCACCAAAAGACTGAATTGACTCGGGATATGCCTCCAAAAGTGCCAAAATCACGTCGTCGGATGCTCCGGAAGCACATGCACAGTGGATGGGTAGATAACCCCATTGGCCAGCGACTTTAACGGCCGCTTCGTGTACCTCGATGAGAGTCTTGACGGCTTCGAGGGTAGGCTCGTTCTTGCAGACTTCGTGGAGAAGCAAGTTTTCACTCGCACCAACCCCAAGGAAGCCCGAGCATTCCGAGGGGAAGAAGTCCACGGAAGAGAGTGTAGCCAGGGATGGTCGGGCAAAGATGGTGGCAGTGAACCTGTCCCAATCGCTGCTCTCGATTTGTTCGGCCACGCTCTCTAGTATGGCGTCGAATTCAACGGTTTGAGAAGCGTCGTGGCTTTCGTTGCTCAGTTCATTTTGGATCTGGTCTGACGAGACGTGCTTGTTCTCGTTGGCCTCCACGGGCTGGGATGATTCCTCCCGTTTGGGTTCCTCCGATTCGCTGGAATCTTGTTCTTCAGTTGGCTTCTCCTCGTCCGCATCGGCACTGTCATCCTGCTTTTCGGCTTCGTCGCTTGCGGAATTCTTGATAGCATCCTTCTCTTTTTTCTTCGACCACGTTGCATCAAGGGCAACGTCGGTCTCGTCTCCTTCCTCGAATCCCGGGAAAATATTCGGTTTGGCAACTCTGGTCTTTTTCTTCGAAGTCTTTCTTCGTTTCAAAGTACTATCGAATGACCAGGTGGCTTCGGTTGGTGGCAACGATGGGATAGCATCGGTATCACTAGGCTCTTCGGGCGATGTTTTCTCGTCTTCTACTACCGACGCATCGGCGCTGTTGGAAATCGCGGCACATTCTTCCAGCTGGATGATGGGGTCGGTTTTGATATCTTCGGCTTTCTCTTCAAAGCTTTCACCGACCTCTTGGGTTTCTTCAGTTGGCTCCAACTCCGCCTCGTCCGCAGAGGAATCCTTTACTGTCTCTTTCATCTCTTGGGTAAACTGTGCCTCTACTTCGTTTTCATTTTCATTTTCATTTTCATTTTCGATTTCATTTTCGATTTCCTTTTCTGTTTCTGTTTCCGTTTCTGTTTCCGTTTCCGTTTCCGTTTCGGTGTCGGTTTCGGCGTCGTCGTGTGTGGATTCGGTGGTAGGACAGTAGGCGAAATTTCCGTCGTACTCTACTTCGATGCCATCTTCCATCTCAGGTTCGATTTCGACTATCTGAAGCCGAGCCGTTGCTGCTTCGACCGCTTCGGTGCCGTTGTCTTCGGCATCGTTGGTGACCCGGGCCTCGAGGATGATGTCTTCTGCCCCCTCTCGGGAGTCTTCCTTGGCGTTTTCGGTGTCGCGGACCTCTTCCCTGTTTTCGTCCCCGTCGGAGGAGAGGGACATGGAATCCCTCATCATGCTGATACGATCCCGGACCGCCATGGTTTGCTGGTGCTTCTGGATGGCCATGGGCACCGTCGCTGTCTCTTCCTCTGTCGCAGCGGAAACATTGGCGGAACCATCGTTACCGCTTCGCAGCATCTCGACTCGATCCAGATTCACCATGGTGAACAGTAGTTTATTTTTATAGGCAGCTGTTCCTAATATATCCTGTCAGGTAATGTATTGCTTGCTGTTGTGTGTTCGTTGGTACGCTAGTTTTCAATGGAAGCAGGAGAGGATGAAGTTCAAGTGGTCTTCTGATTAATTGTAATCCAATAGCGCGGGTTGCTCGCAAACCCGTGAATCTAAGTAATGCTATTTTACTGTCCGAGAACGATGGATTCGACGTTCTTTCTTACTTTTTTGCTACTACTTCTGTGACGTAATGCTACGGAGCCTGCCGCCAATATCAACCTTTGTCGCTAAATAATTTGGAAGATATCTATTAGACCATCAAAATTGTAACTTAGCGATCGGTTTTCATCTTCGAACGTGTCAAGCCGAAGAATAGAATTCCCGGCCATCATCGCTAAAAAATGACAAGCGAAAAAGCCTCTCTACTCCCTATCGTATTGCCTCGGTCATCCTGCGCGCAAAAACATTTCTCGCGCAAAATCATGGACTTGCTAATGTTTGGTTTGGGTCTGATGAGTCGATTCCTATTTTTGTCAATTTCGAATTTCAGCAGGTTGTATCGAATAAATTTAACGTTTTTATAACCTCTATAGAGAGAGATTATGACAAATGCCAGTTTCAGCATTGGGTTTTTTGAGGAAAATAGGATCCTTGCACGCGACGCAGTAATAAAAGTTTGTCGACCGGTGTGACCCACAAGAAAGGCTCATCGAAGAGTTTGCCGGTTCACACGACAAAAATCTGGCCACCGCGACGTCTGGTTGGTGAACTCGTGCTCGTTCCCATGCCGGTAATAGATAGCAGTGTACGAGCACCGTACAACATGAATGATCAGAGTAATAATTATTAGGAGATCCCGTCTGGCATAGTGCGTACTAGCGTTCAAGTCCCATAAATCATCGCATTTCTCGAGTTTCGCTTGGCATTATTTGTTCAGTACAGAACATACTGGGAATCAACGGTCGCCTCTGATGTTGTTTACTGTACTGCCGATTACGTGAAAACAGTACGTACTTCACTTGCTAGCATTCCCCCCAAAAAGTGCTCCGAAGCACTTCTAATAGAAAAGGCTGTGAACCAACTCTTTCCGAAGACTTCGCCTACCCGAAATCCGCTTCCCCCGACAGGAAGCAAGGAAACAGCACCACCGCTGTCGCACCGCACCGCACCGCATTGGTTTCAAAGCAGTTCCACACTCCATAACGCAACGGATTGCAAAGCAGTTCCACACTCCACAACGCAACGGATTGCAACAACCACTCCTCACCGATTTTTCATACCAAAAACCATGGCAGGAAGGGTAATCGGAAGCGACGACGACGAACGGGTCCGAAAGCGAAAGGGGACCAGGGATCCCCCTCAACAGAATGGCATGGGTGTCGGATACGGCGCCGGTCGCAGCAACGGAACTTCTGGCCACAAGACAAAGAAAAAGGAGCGTGTCAGACGCAAGTCCTCACCGATCTCCCGGTGGATGATGGCCCTTCAAACGTCTCGATCCCCCGCCTTTGTGGGTCTCGCGGTCGTTGCCTCCGGAATCCTTCTCGTCGTGACCCTGATATCAGCAACCTTCGGAGGGAACAAGTGCATCGAGAGCCATCTCAATGGCATTTCGGGAAACGTTTACACTTGGTGCTACAAGCACAATAGCAAGGGCGGAATTTCAAGCAGGGTCAGAAGATCTCTCGGCGCGCAAACTAACGACATTGAGGTCGAGAGGGTCGTTCTTGTCGATGGCCACGCCGCCCAGAACAAGAAAGAATTCTTGAAAGCCATCGGAACCCACGAGGATTTGTCACACGATATCGTATCGGAAGAACAGAGCGAAATCTGTTACGCCGACCTTGGCATACTCGGCGATAGGATGGACGATACACGTGTCTATCACTCGCCCGCGATCGGTCCGTGCCACCACGATTACGGCCTGTCGTTTGTACCCCTCGCGGGGAGCTACGAGGAGGCAATAGAGTTCTACTTCTTCCGGGATTCGTTACGTTCGAGATACACCGACCGGGTTAAGTGCTTCCAACAGTGCATCAAGAGTGCACTGACCGAACGCCGGGACGACGCAACGGAGGGCAAGCACCACGGCCATCTCCACGTACCCGACCAGCCGAAGAAGCTGGCGAGGGACGAACGGGCCCTCTTCGAGATCGAGCCGTACGAACGGATTCCCGTCGACAACGTCATGCTGATCGAGGCGGCCAAGATCGGAATGACCCTTGCGGTGGAAAAGCTCTTCCTGCAGTACGGACTGGATCCCCTCTACCGACAGGTCGAAAACAATCCGGGCAACAGCAGGAATTTCAACGCCATCCAGGAAGCAATTCGTGGCGGATACGCCGAAATCGTTGCGATCCTGACCCGGGGGGACAACTCGATTGTCATTGACGAGTACGGCCGGACGGTGGAAGACTACGTCAGGATGAGCGGATCCCCCGTCCGCCCCATCGACGCCAAGAACGTCCTCGGCATCGAGGTCGAGGAAGGCACCGAAAAGAGGCCTGTGCAGAAGGCAAAAGCCCCCAGAAAGGAATCTGGCTGGGACGAGACCGCCGCCGATCCGTACAACGAACAACGATGCGACTTTGACATTGTCGACGGTGATTTGGACCCGATGGTCTTTTACAAAGAGTACTTTATGACGGGACGCCCCGTCGTATTGAGGGGGCAAGCCCCTCAGATGGAACTCGACATGTTCTCGAAAGAACGATGGTACAAATCCAAAAGGTTCAACCCCGACAAGGCCTTTCAAGTGGGTCCCACCGCTTATCCCTCGCTCACTCAACAAAAATACTGCGAAAAAGAAATGTCTATCAACGATATAGAACAGGGAAAAGTTTGCGAGGAAATGCCAGAGAAACCGATGGTTCACGCATTTCATCCCGACGAAGAAGATTTAATGTATCTGTACCCCGTTTTCGAAGGGGATGTCTTGGACGAGAGGGGGGGCTTCCGGTCAATCAAGCATTTTTTCCCTCTCGTTGAGCAATGGGGAGATGCCAATTGGCAGGTCTTTTTTGGCGGCGATGGCTCCGGCGCCACCTTTCATTGGCACGAGGCTGCCTTTAATATTCTGTACGTGGGGGTGAAGGAGTGGAAGATCGCTCCGCCTCTCTACAGAGGACTCACGGGCATGCCGGCGCAACGCGTCGCGGAAACGTTGGATCCAAAGATCTCCCTTACGTGCGTCCAGCATGCGGGGGACATGTTTTACATCCCGAATTTCTGGGGCCACAGCACATACAATCACGGATTCACAATTGGTGCAGCCGCCATTGTACAGGACTGGTACCAGAATGGCGGCGCTTCGTACAGGGGAGACGCATGGGAGAACTACGAACAAGCGCAAGAGGAGGAAGAGGAGGAAGAAGAGGAAGAGGAGGAAGAAGAGGAAGAAAAGGAGGAGGAGGAGGAAGATGAGGGCAGCCCTCCGTTCCTGTTCGTGCACATTAACAAAACCGGCGGCACAAGTCTCATACACATGTTTGGAGACCGTTGCGAGGAAGAATACTGGGGGGAGTACTGGTATGACAGCGACGGCGAGTTCCACCGTGCATTCCACGCGACGGCTCACGCCTATATCGAGAGATACGGGAGGGAGGCCTGGGACAACGCGTACAGCTTTACCGTCGTTCGGCACCCCCTTGCCAGGCAGGTGTCGAATTTCTTTTTCCTTGCCAGCATGGGGTGCGACAAACCGAACAACAAGTGTGCCGAGAGATTGATCCCAACGCTGGACCTCGACGCCATGTCGGACGAAGAGAAAATCGAGGCCTTTCACACATGGCTCGCGAAGATCTATGAGGCCTTTCCCCCGGGAAGTCCCGATCACTATAGATTCGGTGCTGCCGGGCATGGAAACGAAGTCTACGATACTTTTGGTGCCTCTCAGACGAGCTGGAACGTCGACTCCGAAGGCAAGTACGTGACCAAAGACTTTTACAAGCTCGAAGAGCTTAGCAAGGACATAACGAAACTCGCCGAAAACATTCCCTGCCTAAAGAATGGTCCCCTGGAGATGGACAAGAAGAACAAGACTTCGAACTACCCAAATTATATGCTCTTTGCCAAGGACGAGAAGACGAAACAGATAATCAACGAGGTCTTTGCGGAAGATTTCAAGAACTTTGGATACGATCCATTATAACCAACCATCAATAGATTTACCGACGAATGCGATGCAAAGGAGCAGGGTAAACACTCTACCCACCCCTTCCTAAGTTCTGTATTGTGAGGGACTTAGCAGACATTGTATCCAAAGACTTTGAAGAAGGGAAATAATTCACCGACTAAAGTAATGCACAACCAAAAAAATAATAGTGTTATGTCAAGAATTATCAAACGCATTTCGGTAATCACTCTAGTACCAGCCCGAGCACTCGTCTTGTCTACTGTACTACATATTTTGCTTTCATTCAATTTGTAGTACTATTATTTTTTTATTACGCAMAAACGCAGTGTAGTGACTATCACTTTTATTATCATGATTTTGTTTTCCTTCTACCGGTCAACCGGTGTGAGGACAAAAACCTCACTCTTTATTGTAAACACGTAGTTATACAACACTAAGGAGCATACGTACATTTCACAGGTTATGAGCAACATAGGACTCACCATATCCCTCATCACCTCAACTATCATCATCAACAGACTTTAATGACATCTGGTTAAAGCCATTGGCACAACCTCGCAGAGCAGCTGTTCATGCTTCTTCCCGACGGTTGCCATCTCGTTCTTTCTGACACCCGGAAAACTGGTCAGGAAATTTATTTAGTACTCACCCCCGTAGAACTGTACAGCAAGTTCCCCCGAACTCCCAGAACCCCTGCTGCTGACACCAAGATCCTTTCTACATACCAAGGACACTGTTTTATTAACGCTACAGCACATAATCCATGTATTCACCATGGTGTCCTCCATCAAACCATCCAAACCCAACCCCAAATCACGACAGTCTAAGGGACAGCGATCACCTGCTGCTAATTCCCCTCAGATCCGCAACTTTCTGGTCTCTTCTCCCCAACAGCGACCCTCGAAAGAACCACAGCGCCGTCTCCACCTCTTATTCTACCATGGCAATATCCAACGTGAACTGCGAGCCCTTGAGCTAGCATTTCCCCTCGATTCCACCCTGGCTATATATGTTGAGATGGTTGAAAATCAGTGAGTGAATCGAGTCAAATAAAGTGTTCTCTATCTTATTCTCTATTTCTTTGAAATATGAGCTCTCCTCCCAGCTCTAATAATCACGGCCTCTGTCCGGAATTCACTCCTCTTGTACTCATTGTTTCACTCTTTCCTTTATTCCTTCACTGTGGATCAATAAAGATACTTGGATCCCTCCTGGATCTCTTCAACTTCAAGGGTTCCTATCCAGGTCCCCTGACACCTCTGTTGCCAGCTCGATCTACACCATCTGTATCCTGTCATCTTTGACATCTTCATTGACAGCTGTCTTAGCTRTTAATCCTCCAATAAGCTGGCTCTTACTTGATTCCCTCAATCCCTTACTCTAGTCTATATTCAGTAATACATGTTGGCTCACCTGGCTCGGTTATCCGCACGCATGACAGACCATTTGTTCCAACACACTTCCCTTATTAGACTACTGCACAAGCTCGTTGCTGTATTTGTCGAATAACGCCTTCGGAACATTCTTTGTGTGGATATCCGGAGTCATGTCTGCCCCGGCCTTCCAGTGTACTTCAATGTAYCCGTGTTCCTTTAGCTCGCGAATAAAGTTCTGTTTAACATCCACGTGTCTTGTTCTTCCTCCTACTGACCAATTATTAGCCAGTGCAACTGCTCCCTTGTTATCACAGTGCAATACCATGGGCAACTTCACTTTAAGCCCCATATTAATCACGATATGGTACACGAACATCATATCCTGTGCTGTTAATACTGCGGAATATAACTCAGCCTCAGTGGTGGACAATGCCACGATTGGCATCATCTTACTGAATTGCTTAACAATTGCTCCTTCGAAATAAGTAATTCCCGCATTCACACTTCTACGTGAGCTGTGTTTAGCATATTCGGAATCACACTTGCCCTCGATTTGGAAYTCTCTAGAGTTCCTTTCACCATCCCACTCAGCCGGTTTATATGGTCGAAACACATATCCCTTGTCTTTTGTGGACACTATGAAATTCATGACACGCATTAGTGCCTTGTAACACAGCTTGCTTGCGGTGGTCATATGTGAGGATAGCTCCCGTACTGCATTCAGCACGTCCGGTCTGCTCCACCGCATCATGTGCAACAATATCCCTACTCCRGAGCGATATTTTGTTTGTTTCTTTTGGTTAATGGGCTTTTCCTCGACCTTATCGTATTCAAGCACACTTCCCGGCTCAGCGGGTGTTGATGGGGCTCGGTGACCGGGACCATTGTCTCCCTTGCAATTGAATTCATCAATGAACCTTTGAACCTTAACTGGCTGTGTTAGTCTAATCCACTCCTTGGTGCGTTCCACTTTACAGCCGACATACTCTTTTAGCTCGCCCAGGTCTTTACAGTCCCAAAGCCCAGTGAAATCTTCCACTGCTTCCAACACCAAATGCTTTGGACCGGATATGCAGCAATCATCCACCCACAGCACAAATAGAACCAGCTTATTCTGTTTCCACTTGTAAAACATGCATGGCTCAGCCTGATTCCTCTTAAACCTCATGAAAGCCAATGCTTTGCAGCACTCACGATAATACTGCAATGCGGCCTGCACTGTTCCATACTGTGTTTTGAGCAACAGGAATACGGCCCACGGCGGATACCACTTCTTATACGCYTGTGGAACTTCCATATACATCTTGTGCTTGTTGGGCTTTTGAAATACTCCATTCAGGAAAGCTCCTTCAACATCAACGAGATGTTGGTACCATCCTCCCACGATTGCGAGGACRAACCCGACACGGATACCAACCTCGGTGGCCACAGGAGAAGATTTGTCGTTGCTATCATAGTGTTCTCCGTCCACTTGCATGAATCCACGAATAGCATTCCGAGCCCTGAAAGTTCCATCAGGCTTCTTCTTCATAGCCCATGTGCTGTCAAACAGCCTGGCCCTCTTTGGGACCTCGCTGGGATGAACTACCTTAAATACATTGTACTTMACCATTTTGTCATGCTCAATCTTGATTGCTTTGTTCCATTCCTTGCGATCCACGGATTCCATGGCTTGCTTGTAATTCATYACGTTCAGCTCTGCTGTATTGCCGTAATTATGGCCCGTGGCTCCTACTAAGTGCAGTTCTCCATGGGTATCTTGTAATGCTGCCGCRACCAGCATATATGCTCCCTTSTTGTTTATGTAACCAAAGGCTGTTTCAACGGACGTGTATACCTGYTCCTCCTTGGTTAAGCTTAACAGGATGTACTCTTCTTCCCTCATTGCCTCATCCACGTGTTCAGTTGCCGGCGGTAGTGCTTTGACCTCTTCCAGTCCTAGCAGGCATGTTTCCTCCACATACTTGTCTTCTATATGAAGTGCGATGACCTCATCCCCCAACCGAGTCCCATCGTGCCTGGTAGGAGGGCGTACTTCCCGCCCGCTGCGAGTACGATAGTTAGTTCCATTGTCCGACTCCTCGTCMTTGCTCTGGCTTTCGTCCTCGCTGTACTCATGTGTATCRAACAGGGGCTCATTGTCCTGTTCGAACATGATCACAGTACTGTTTGAATCAGAGGCTTCTTCGTGGTCAACTTCCTCACCTCTTGATGCAGTGGAATCCGTTTCCACGCTGTCCGCCTCGCTGCCCTCTTCTTCATCACGGTTAATGGCYATGCCTTGAGCCAGACGCGGGCTCAGTCCCACCACAGTGATTGGTGCTCCCGGTCGAGCTTTCTTGGGGAAATACATGCGGTCCAACCACTGCACATCTCTTGAATGAACAATCCCCYGTGATCGGGGATCATACATTACATAGCAGTCCTTTGCATGGTCTTTTGCAAAACACACAAACATGCAAGTCTTTCCCCTCGCGTCGACCTTCGGGGTGGTCCTCTGATGGGTCTTGACTACCCCTGCCATTCCTGCAATCTGCATGTGCTCTGTCCAGGCCGGAAGTTTCCCATACAGATGCTCGTTGCGTGTCTTCTGGTCGTTGTTAATATCGATCACGGTGAGCATATCTGTTTGGCAGCACCACTTGTAGAAYAATGCAAACAACACGTATCGATACTCATCTGGCACATTGGCAGTCTCCAATGCTGCGCGAGTCTTGTTACTCATGTGGAACAGCTTGGTTTCGACCCTTGAATTCCGCTGAGGGGTCTTAGCTGTAAACTCGAAGTCCACGTTGAGCTTCCAGTCAGCTCCATTGATTCTTGTCTGGAGTCGCTTGTTTTCTCCGGCATCATCGCAACGAATGCGTTTGACTRGTTTGCCTCGACATGCCTCTCTTTGGAAGTATGTACAGAAATCTTCGATGAACCCGTTCTTCTTGTTRTACCAGCCTATCATTGTTGCTCCAGTGATATGCTCTACCGCCATCACGAGGCAGTTGTTCCTTGGGAAATGGACATGCTCCTGTGACTGTTTTGGTTTCTTGAGTCTCATACCGTCGATGTWATAMAGTTCTCCAATCTTGCTTGGRATACGAGTTTCTCCTCCGGTTAAATTAGTTTGCCGTGCCTTTGCCACGGCACATGCCTCACACTTACGAAACGGCTCTCTCGTTAGYTTCCAGCCCAGGTGCGAAGCCGTCCGCTTCGTTTCTTTAACCGAACTRTGGCCACAAAACAAGTGCGCTTTGGCCAGGCTCATCACTGTTGGGGTTGCCAGCATACACTCCCCAGGACCACTAGTTGTGCTRCGCCTTTGGATGTCCGCTGCCCATAGCTTACCTTCTTGGGTTTTGATCGGTATATCGAAATCAATCCGCCTTTCGCCTTTGGTTAGGTGAATACCCTTCGCGTCTCCCCACATATACCATCCTGCTTCCGTCAACTTTGTGATTGAACACAGGTTAAACTTCGACGATCCATAGCGACAGTCCTTCAACACTACATTAGTAGTCTGCCCATCTTGACTATGAATGGATCCCTTGATATCCAGTATAGCGCTAGTATGCATCTTATTACCGCTRGCGTCTAGTGAATGCTGTAGGGTCTTCATACGTACACTCGCACCGTGTGARGGGGTTGAGCCTGTATCACTGTTAGTTACGTGACACGAGGCTCCTGTGTCTGCAATCCATATGTTAGGCGTAAACAACAATTCAGTCCCATGGGTCTTTGATAGGCCCAATTCTGTCTCCACGTTGAGCAACACCGCCTCGCTCTCTACGCGACCTGGCTGGACTTGGAGTTGTAGCCTCAACGCCTGTACCTCCCTTAAGTGTTTCCCGATTTGGTGTTCAACCACGCGCAACCTTTCTTGAATTTTCTGTTGGTRTCGCTGATATCCTATGTATTTCATCGCTTCAACAGTTTCAACGGGTTTTGCCACGTCTTTCCCTGGTATCAACTGTAACGTCCAACCAGAAAATTCGTTTGTACCGTTACGGTCTCCATACAATACCAGATTTTGGCTTATATCTCCGCGTGATGGGTTGCTCGCGTTTCTCGCGCTTGCGCGTACCTTCCGACCGTTTTGCTTCACGATCTTCATAAGCGCATTCCCGCGGCGTTTCTTAGCTCTATTCTGCTTCCTCACGATACTGCTAGCTTCACTAGCTGCTTTGCGTGTACTGCTCATTTTGCTACGTTTTACAGTATTCATACTGTTATTAGTTGCTGGAAGAAAARGACTGCTTGACCATGGTGATCCTTCCTCGCACGTTAGATCCATTAGTGTAAAYGTGAGTTCGTCCTCAACGACGATTCCAGCGACCTCGCTGTTGTCGTCTCGCATTCCTTTTGGTCGTTTGTCCGGATATTTCTTCCAACAYTCGCTCTCGGTGTGTCCCTTCTTCCCGCAGTGACTGCACGGTTTCTCATGAGGACAGTCACGTTTGATGTGGCCTAGCGCTCCACACCCATAGCATCTTTTCTTGTTGTTATGGTTCTTGCCTTTGTTTCTAATAAATTTCTTCTTTGTTTTCTTGCTCTTCTTTACGCGTTTCGGCGCCTCTTCATCATCGCTGCTGTCATCATCGTCACCTCCTGCATACAGCGTTAATTCCTGYAACAGATTGTTGGCTTGATTAATCTGGATACTTTTATAGTGGTCGTACATAGCCGCTCGCAGTTGTTTCAAGGTTGGCTCTCTCTTGTTTATCTTCTTTTCGGTCGTTCTTTCGCTTTGAATAACCACTTGGTACATCTTGGGTGCTCTCATCAGTATGGCCGCTCGTTTATCCTCTTCAGTCAATGGAGTGACCCTCCCTTTGTACTTCTGTTCAATGGAAGTGATCTGGGAAAACAGTGTTTTAGGGTTGTCCGTCTTCTTCATGTGAATCGAATACAGCTCGATTCTTTGCCTAATCATTCCCATTTCGTCRTCAGCCGCGAATTCATCCAATAGTTCCTTCACTACTAGGTGGCATTGTCCGGTTGGCCAGTCCTCGTCCTTGGAATCGGTYACATATGCCTGGCAGTCTTCGTTCACGTTCTTTGCAAATGCAATCGTGAAGGCGGCGATTCCCATTTTATTCTTGATGATAGCTTCCTGCTGTCCTTTCGTGTGTTCGACTGTTCCTGTTACAAGTTCAGTCTCTGGTAATGCTGAGGATTTCTCYAGTTGRATCACCTCCGCGAATTCCTTCTGAATTGCATACGCTTGAAACAGCGGCCACCACTTGGCGAACTCGCTCACCTTATTGGTCTTGAACAGAGGAACCTCCATCTTAATCGATGAAAGCTTCACCATCTTGTATTGTTGTCTTTGTTCTCAATCGCCTGTGTTGATATTTCAAATCGATGTTCCACTGAATTGCTCAACCCTTACAACTCAATCGTTCTTCGAAGAATGTTGAGATGGTTGAAAATCAGTGAGTGAATCGAGTCAAATAAAGTGTTCTCTATCTTATTCTCTATTTCT